CTGGGGTCTCTCTTCCCTGGCATGCTTTACTCCTCTGGCAAAGGCTGACAGAAGGCGTTTGCTCCTGCCATTCTAACCTCCTGGCTGCCTTTACCCCAAATAAACAGCGGGGCAGGTGTGGGATGGGAATCCGCCAGCTCCACTGGGAAACTGTCTTCTCACCTTCGAAATAAGGACACGGGCTTTCCCCGCTGGAAAGCCCCAAGAGAAATTCAGACCGGCAAGGGGGTGGGTGTTGCTTCGCGTGACGCTGCAGGCCGCAGACACAAAGGTCAGCTTATCAGCTGCTGCAGGTGTGGCTGCTGTTCCCATGCAGACGTGTCCTTGGAAGCCTAGCCTGGCAAGACAGACTCAGATACACCTCTTGATTTCTCCCTTCTCCCTCTCCCGCTTCTTCTTGTTCAGCAGTGAAAGACAGTGCGCCAGCGAGGGATGAGCAAATATGCTGCTTTCAGTTTCTATCCATTTCCCGTTTTTCCTATCTTAAGTCTCCTACTCATTTCCCCATCAATTTGTGGGTTAAAAAAAAAGTCTGCATGAAAATTCAGCAGCATTTCCTTTTTTAAACGTTTCCTTTAGCTCATTATATACCATTTCCCAGAAAGCCTATACCTCTTTACAAGTCCACCACATGTGGTAGAAGATACCTTCCCTTTCTTTACATTTCCAGAACTCATTAGTTCTTGCCTAAAAATACTTTTGTTAAAAATACCCAGAAGCCTTTTTATTGGTGATAGTGGGTGAAGAGATACCAAGGCAAGATAAAAGACTGTTTATGTATGCAGCAACTGTGGCAAGAATACTTTAGCCCCAAAATGGAAACAGCAAGAAGTACCAACGAAAGAAGAGTGGCAGGTGAAGATGATGGACTTTGCAGAACTGGCGAAGCTGACGGGAAAAATCCGAAACCAGCATGATCAAGTATTCCAAAAGGACTGGAGTAAATTTATACGATATCTGAAAGATTATTGTAAGCAATTAACATCACTAGCAGGGTTGTCTGAAGACTTGTAATGAGAAATTTTCTACCTTTCTATATTTATTTAAATTTTGAGCCATTTTGTAATGAGTGTAATTAGAATGGGAAAATGGAGAAAATGCAGTGATAGAAAAGTTAATTTTGAAAGCCATGAGGCAGGAGGGAAGGAAATCGACAGGCTCTAAGAGCCAAGGCGGTATAGTAGATAAAGATGATGTGAATGTATAATATTAAATGGAATTATATATATATATATATATATATATATATATATATATATATGGAAATTTGGCAGCGTTTTTATGAGAAGGCATCCTGTTTGTATGCAGTCCTCTTAGACATACAATGAAGCTGAGCGTTGGAATATTAAGGACAGATAAAATAAAGTCCTTCTTCATGCATAGTTAAACTACGGAACTCACTGCTGCAGGGAACAAAGATGGCCACCAACCTAGTTGGGTTGAAAAGAGGATTAGATGGATTCATGGAGGAGGGGAGCCTATCGAAGGCAATAGTGGCTCTGTCTCTCCAGCTTCTGAATGCCTGGCTCTCAGGGCTGGGGCAACACGTGGGGCTGGAGCCTGGCAGCAGCCTCTCCTCCTCGTTTGCTCTCTGGCACTGCTATGAGCTGCCCAAGGGAAGAGGCCAATCGCAGCACCAGCAGCCATGGAGAGGCTACGGAGAAGAAGCGGGGTGTTTTCTTGCAGCCACCGCAGCCACCAATTGCAATGCTCAGAACAAGCGCCAGCTCACCCTCCTGTCTGATCTCATCTGCAACAGCACCGGTGGAAGAAATACTGTGGTACCTCAGGTTACAGACGCTTCAGGTTACAGACTCCACTAACCCAGAAATAGTACCTCGGGTTAAGAACTTTGCTTCAGGATGAGAACAGAAATTGTGCTCTGGCGGCACGGTGGCAGCGGGAGGCCCCATTAGCTAAAATGGTGCTTCAGGTTAAGAACAGTTTCAGGTTAAGAACAGACCTCCGGAACAAATTAAGTACGTAACCAGAGGTACCACTGTAAGGGCATTTCAGAATCAAATCAGAAGCTGAGGTGGCTTTCATAATTATGGACTGTCCCTGGACATAGTCAAAGGTGACTATGGGGTTGCAGAACTCATCCACAGACAGCTTTCCGGGTCATGTGCTCCTGGTGTAACAGAACATTGTGACAGAAACCAGAGTGCACTGAAACGCTGTTTACCTTCCTGCCACAGTGGTACCTGTTTATCTACTTGAACTGGTGTGCTTTCAAACTGCTAGGTTGGCAGGAGCTGGAACAGAGCAATGGGAGCTCACTCCATCGCGGGGATTCAAACTGCCGTCCTTCTGATCGGCAAGCGCAAGAGGCTCAGTGGTTTAGACCACAGCGCCACCCGCATCCCTCCTAGGGTATGGAAGTGGTGACCCACTGAACCCATTTCAGGAAACACAGGTGCCCTGTGGCACTCACTAGGCACCTTCCCTCAAAGAAGTACTCCTAGTACTCCCTCAAAGTACTCCCTCAAAGAAGTACTCCTGTTTTTCAGGCACTCAAACCACAGCATATTGCACAACTACTTAAAGAAGAAAGGTACTTTCCCCTGGCTTTCGGGGCCGTTGCCACTTGGAATAAGCTACTTGTGCCAGCTTCACAATGTGCAAGGGATCGGTGGCGATCAGAGTGGCGCTTTGCTTTGCCATAACACTGACAGAGCCCACCCTGAGGGCAGATGTGCCAGGAAGGAGAGGAAAAACACCCGGCTGAGGCAGGGGAGGTGGGACATTCATGCTCAGACACGCACACAGCCCTACATTGCTGATAATTTTTATTTTTCTGCCTTGCTGGATTAGATGCCCTTTGAGTCCCTTCCAACTCTACGATTCTATTATCTTTTTAAAAGTTAAAAGCTGTTAAGGGGAGGAATTTAACACTTTCCCTCAACACGCTTTCTCTAATCTCTTGTTGTAATCAAAATCTGCCTTTTCCCCCTTATGGGGTATCCAAGAGCCCATATAGAGTCCTTATGTAGCTTCCTTATTGGTAGGAGAAAATAACAGAGGCCAAGCAGAGAATATTGAGAAGCAAAGCGGCTAGTAAGCCTGATCTTTATTGATCTGTTGCAACAGGGTCCTCACTCACCACACGCAGGAGGGAGGAGGAACCCCAAACAAAGGTGTGCCTGCCCTTATATAGATATTTTAAATTCCCTCCCTGGAGTCCAAGACAACCCCCAGAAACATCATACATACATCACAGAAAGGGCAGTCTACAGCAGAAATCTGAGTGCGTTGTTTACCTCCTGTCTGCCAGGTTACCTGTTTAATGGTCACTTGATTGGATTGCCTGGGAGCCTGGCCAGTCTTTTGCAATGATAAATACTTAGTTCCTGAGCCAGGTCACAGCCTCATACCCTATTCATATCTTAAGAAGGATTTGCGAAGGAAAAGACAATGGGGAGGCTTTTCCATTTTCCTTTGACCTTGCAGAGAAAACATTTGCTCAGTTTGGGAATCAAAATGGTTCCAGGTCGGTCTTCCTGTGCTGATCTATGTACATGCTTGGTTGGTACCAAAATTCATACCACACTCTCCCCCAGGTTGGCACTTGTCCTGCTGTGCGGTGGGGGACAAGGGTGTGAGAGAAGAGCAACTAGACGGGGATGTAATTTAGTGGAAACTACAGGAAGGCAGAGGGCTACTCTTGTGCTCAAATCCTGCTTGTGGACTGTGCACAGGCGGCTGGTTGATCACTGCTAGAAGAGGTGGAAGGATCCTACAGGCCACTGAGTGGATTCAGCAGGCTCTTCTCACCTTCTTATGTTCATGAAGATTCGGTAGGCCTTCTGAAAACCTTCTATTCTATTGGGAATAGTACCAGGAAGTCTAAAGGAAGAGGATGAGACATTATATTTATCCGCAACAGTAGCCGCAAGGCTATTGATTGCAAAAAATTGGAAAAGTGGTATAATACTGACAAAAACAGAGTGGCTTGCCAAATTACTGGAGTATTACAATATATCCAAAACAATGGGAGAAATTGGAAGGATCTCAAAAGAGAAGATAGACAAGGACCGGAAGGTGTTTAAAGGATATTTGCAAAATCATATTGAAAAATCAGAACTCCTATTAGAATAAATAAGTTCCGTTATAAATACCGAAATACCAAATAAGATGGATAACAATGTGTAACAGAAAAAGAAGTAGAAAGTTGGTTTAAAAGTGTGTGAAGGAAAGTAATAGAAGTGAAAGAAATTGCAATTGAGTAGATTGGAAGTCTAACTGAATGGTGATGGGTTGGTGGTGGGAAAAGGTAGTATCTGTGGGACTGAGTGGGGGTATGTATGAATATTTTTAAGGATTGTATGAAATGTATGTTTGTCTGTATATTCGTAATATGTATGAATTAATGTTGAATTATTTTAATAAAATAAAATAAAATAAAAATGAAGATTCAGAAGGGACCATTATGGCCGTTGTGTCTGTCTATTGTGCTGTGGATGCAGAGAATCCTCCGGCCACCTCTTCCCTCCCAGGTGGCCTCCCAGCCTCTGTTTAGAAATACCGTAGTTTTCCGTGTAGAACACGCCACTGTGTATAAGACGCCTCCTATTTGGGGGGACTCCAAATTAGGAAAATGGGGGGAGATTGCCCAGAGTTGTTGACCTACGCTGCCACTCGCACATGTCGCAAAACCCACCTATCGTCTGTCCCCTCGCCAATCGCCCGCCCAATTGCCGCAGAGCCAGCCAATCAACACCAGCCCTTGCTGCAGCCACCAATAACACGCACAATAGCCGCTGACAATCTCCGGCTTGCAGCAGCAACCAATCCCATGTCCTTGTGATGCACTCTCTGTGTATAAGACGACCTCCCCTCCCCTTTTGGCATAATTTTCTAAGGAAAAAACCTCATCTTATACATGGAAATGTACAGTATCTGATGAAGGAGAGCCATCCATCTTCCCAGTCACTTTCTTCCCCTCTGAAGCAGCCCCACGTGCAGCAGATCCTTACTTTTTTCCAAATAAGACACAGTAATGGTCATTCCCTTTTTTTATTTGAGAATTTATAGAGATTGCAAGCAGACACAATGGAAGGAAATTCAAATTACATTTGTATTTAGCATCCGTGAGTATATACTTGTAGGACAACCGCAAAGGGGAGACAGAAAAATAGAGAATAACATGAAGCCATGCAAATGGTTTTGAAAACACTACTGATTAATTCATCCATATTTTTTTTAAGAAACACAAGACATTGGAATAAGATGCCCTCACCAGTTAATCAGGTTTCAAATGAAAACTCCCAATTACTCAACTTTCTCTGAACTTCCCAGTTTTGTCATTCAGATTTCTAATTCAGCATTGAAAATCACATTTTGGATGTGAAGTATTTGCATCTGGTAATGCCCTAGCCTTTGTTCATGAGTCTTTTGACAGTTTGAATCAGCTGTCAAACCTTCATTATCACTGCAAGTGATATTCAAAGGCAGCCTGGTAAATACATGTCTCTGCTCTGCACTGTCATGGAGATATATTGTGTTCGTTCTAAGCCACACTTCTGGTTCACAATTGGCCTAAATTTAAAGTGAGCCCAGAATCCTTAGCAACGCATAAGGAGTTTTGTAGCAGATGTGCAGGTTCTCTTGGCAGAAGAGACCATTTGTGCCGGAGTGATCCCTGAAGACTGGAAACAGATTCAGATGTCAGTGCTATCAAGCGCCAAGCAGCCCATGTGCTGTCACGCACCAGCTGTAAAGCATTAAACACTGAAGTCCCAATATCATTGGATACCCAATATCAACTAGCTAGAAAACATTCAGCAAATATTCAAGGAATCAGACAACCTCTGGAGAAGATGAACAACAACATTCACAAAGGAGAAGTTCAAGGAGTGTTTGAGAAGCAAATTCATCCCAGATCTGCCTTAAAGTTCCTGTTTTGTGGTTATGAATGTTGCATCTGTCTCGGATTGGGGCCTTTGTGCCCCATCATGTGCTCTGTCTTTCTCATCCTTGTGTTTCCACTATCTTGACTAGCTGCCCCATTGCATCATTGTGAGTTTTCCTTTCTCTCTTTTGCCAAATCACACAGCCAAGATCCACAGGGTTCCTCGCAGATAGTACGGTAATTTTCTTAGCCTTGAATAACAGGCTATTTGTTTTGGCTGATAAAAGAGAAAAAAACTACCTTTTGGGCACCCAGATTGCATGCATGATTGTTAGCCTGGACTTAATTTCCATTAAGAGACATTTTTAAACATGCACAGAGGCAATTCCAGGCCATGTTTAAAAAAGCCAAGGGTTCTGGCACACCTAACACACCCAAAAATGATTCTACAATATGCCCACATTGCTAAGCTAGTCAGGGGATGAATGGAGCTGTAGTCCAGCAACATCTGCAGGGCCACAGCTGCCCCAAACCAGGTTTATACCACTGTTTTGCATTCTCCTCCTCTTCTGTGCCCTGTCACCTTCATCTTTTGCAGCCTCATAATCCTCATAATTTGCTTGTTCCTTAACCCACCAAATGCACCATCAGCAGCACAATTTCAAAATTTCAGAATAACAAGGAAACAGCCCAAGCAAAAACGAGCAGCGCTGAAGGCGACCTCTCTGTTCCCTGAAGAGCAGTGAATGTGGCCAGATTGTGTCTAGGAAGAAGGCAAAGCAGCCTCTAAGGCGGCTAAAGAATACATGGACCATCTATTCAGACAATGGGAAGTTTTGAACCTCAGGAAACTGGGATTTGTGTATGAAGGTGTATAGCAAACAGCTGGGAGCTTTTGCAACTGGTGGGGTCTGAATCAACTAACTTGAGATGGATATTTGCAAATGCAAGAATGCAGCAGAAAGGCTTTACAATAGTCCAGAGGCAAAGACCCCCCATTTCCAAGGGGGCAAACTGCTCGAACGCAGGAGCACAAAGAAGGAGCTTGCTGGATTAGATGAGTGGTCCATCTTGGGGAAATGCAGGCATTGGATGAAGCTGATTGCTTGAGGTTCCTCCTCTAGGATGCAAGGGGGTCAGCCGGCCGTCTAGAAGGAACGCCAAGATGACCTCTGGGAGAAGACGGAAAGCAGCGTTAATGGATCCGCCACCCCATCCTGCCAAACTCAGCTGCCACCAAAGCAGCATTTCTTCAGGTGGTTGTCCCACCCAGACAGAAGGGCTCAGAAGGTCAGGTTGTCACAAGGCCCCCCATTGTATACTGACAACCAGGGAAGTCAAAACTGCTTCAATCAGCAAAATTGGCCCTATTATGGGTCCCGCCTAACCCCCATTCCCCAACTGTAATGACTCAATCTTTCAGTGTGGCAGCACCTACGTTTTGGAATTCCCTGTCCATTTAATCGCAAGCAGGCACCTTCACGGGGCTCTTTTTGGCACCTGCTAAAAGCATTGTCATTTTGACAAGCCTACCTAGATGTTTGGCAGGCTGTTTCAAGTCTTGGGCCTTATCCACCCATCTTCTTTTCCCGCTGCTTTCACCCGGGGAAAACCACTCTATAGTGTTCAATTGGAACAAACAGCCATTTGGGTTTTCTCCGGATTGACGTTTACTCCGATTTAGCACCAAAGAGTACATTTTCCCTGGGAAACGGGTGGGGCAAGGGGGAAGCCACTTGGAGCTGGGCTCTCCTGGCACAAGACAAGAAGAAGTGTGAAGGAGCCCTTAATCTGATTTCAGTCTGCTGTCATTTTACATTTTTGAATGTCTTACATTATTGCTCTTAACTGCTCTTAGTGGTGATTTTATTGGTTTATCTTTTTTGCAAACTTCTTTGAGGTGTTCCTTTTACAATCAGGCAGTGTATACACTTGATGAAATAAAAACAAACCAGCAAGACTTTTCCAGACCCAGTTTCTTGGCTTTGCTGGGACTAATTTTGCCACCCCTCTCCAGCCCCACATTCACTGATGTCACACAGAAGATGGAGGAAACTTGTTTTCTGCTGCTCCAGAGGAGGGGATCTGACCCAACAGATTCAAATGACCAGAAAGGAGCTTCTGACGAAACATCAGGAAGAACTTTCTGATGGGAAGAGCCAGTTGGCGGTGGAATGGACTCCCTCAAAAATCCTTCCTTGGGGTGATTTTAAGTAGAGGTTGGGTGGCCATCTGACTTGAAAGAGTTAGTTGAGATTCCTGCATTGCAGGGGGTTGGACTAGATGACCCCCGGGTCCCTTCCAACTCTACAATTCTGTGATTCTATGACCATGGGGTCCCCTTGCAACTCTATGACCTCGGAAGTTGGTGGCTTGTGAGAGAGGTTGCCATTTGAATCCATTGGATCGGATCCTACTTGAGACCTCAAATAGATCTCACAGCAGCTTTCATCTGGGGAAAACCACTCTGTAGTGTTCAATTGGAACAAACACCCATTTCAGTTTTCTCCAGATTGACGTTTACTCCAATTTAGCACCAAAGAGTACATTTTCCCTGGGAAAGGGTGACTAAACAGACACCTCACCCTGTTATGGTTTCGGCGGTTCAACGTCTCTTTCAGATGCTTCACCCACGGGGCGTGGGGAGGGGCGCAGAGGTTCCGCCCTCTGATGGTGGTGAAACTGGAAACACAAAGAGCAGGAAAAAATATGAGCAGATGACCAGGATGCCTCTGCCATCTTAGATATCCCTCCTGTTAGCGCCCCTCCCCCCCCCCGAAATATCTGCATTGCATGGTCTAAAGCAGTTGTTTCCCCCCTTTTTGTATAATTTTTATTAATTTTTTCTGTTTTGCATTTTAGAATATTCATTTAAACAACCTTAAAATATCAATACTTCCTTTCTTCTCTTTCCATGGTTCATTTTGCATACCACAAATCCCTGCATATTTTACATCCATTATTACATCCATTAAACCTTATTTACGCTGCTGAATTTATCTTAATGCTGCCGACGTTTTCAAGTGTACACAATTTCCCCCATATATTCAATAAACATTTTCCAATCTTCTTTAAATGAATGTTCTTCTTCTTCTCTTATTCTATAAGTTAGGTCTGCAAGCTGAGCATATTCCATCAGTTTAAGTGGCCATTCTTCTTTAGTTGGGACCATGCTCATTTTCCATGGAGGTAGTGGCCCCTAAAGGGGCAATGGGATTACCTTGGGGTTGCCAAGAGGCAAGTGGGTGGCAGTGGATCACTGGATCAAGTTCATCCATTTTGTTGAATTAATTAAACTAAGTAGCTTTCATTGGATTTTGAATAGATGTGCCATTAATTGTTACCGTTTCAAATTTTATTGCATTATTCTCTTCCTTAGTGGGAACCACTATTCTGAACTATGCTTTTCTATGGGGTTGGGTAGGGGGCACTGGGGATAAATTTATGGAACCAAGCAGGTAGGGACTCCAAAAATTTTGGGCGCCAGAGATCTATAGGCAGCAGTTGCCACATTGCTGCCCCTCCCCAGGAGGAAAGGTGGGGCCAAATGACCTCTTTCATGCTTTCTGGTTCTGTGGAGCCCTTCATCGGTGAGAATCCCTGATTAAGTTGCCAGGGGAAATGGTCCGTGCAACTCAACACTTTTGCCACTTCTTGAAAGCAACCGAAGTTGCCTTGGTGGGATCTCGTTCCACCTCATTTGCACAGCCTGGCATCGTGCCAGGGAAGTCGCTGTGAACGGGACATGGTGGCTGAAGTTTGTGCAATGTTCTCTCAGTCTCGCTTTTGGCTGCAAGCCACAGACCACAGAAGTCGTTTTATTTGCATGGAAGTTGATCCCATTATATGCCTAGATAGTAGCAGGGGAAGACCATGTACACCTGAACTTTGCTCTCTTTCGCAGTGGGAGGGCAGAGGAGTGGAAATGCAACAGATATTTCCCTCTTGTGGGTTTAACAGAGCATGGAGCGGGTTGTAGTGATGTCAGGTTACAAGAAATGCAGGACTCCAAGAATTGCAGGCTCCGGGACTGCAAGGAGAGGTTTCTGGTTACACCGATTGTCCCAGACAACAGACAGTTCTTAAATTAGATGAAAACAGGCATGCTTAACTCCTCTGAACTTTGAATTACAGTATTCCTAAGACAACCCTCCACCCATCTCAAAGGAGGATTGTGAAGTCTTGATTTAATATAAGACTTGCTAAACTTTGTAGGCCTAGAATGAGAAGTCAAATTATAGTAACTGGAAACAATGTTTGTCATTACCCATTACTACAAAGCCAACACAATATTACTTCATTTAGGATGCTCTTGCTCAACAGCACATGGCTGGCAACTAGATGGGACAGAGAAGGAGAATGTCTCCTGCCAAGGTTCCCCAAACTGATGCCCTCCAGCTGTTTCGGACTACAACTCCCATCTGTCCCAGCCAGCTAGCGCTGATGGGAGTTGTAGTCTGCAGCTTCCGTAGAGCATCAGGTTGGTAGAAGTTTGACCTATCAGCTGCCGTTTGGGTCTGGGATGGCTGGTTAAGAACATAAGAAGAGCCTGTTGGATCAGGCCAAAGGGGGTCAAGCAAGTCTAGCCTTCGGTTCCCACAACGGCCAACCAGATATCTCAAAGGGGTTTGAGTCCAAAAGCCCTCCTGTGGTTTCCGGAAACTGGCCTTCAGAAGCTGTGCTGCTTCCAGCTGTGGATGCAGAGCACAGCCATCCTGCCTAGTGGTTGCTGCGTGCTGATAGGAGGAATTCCCATTAAGTTGGAAGCGCATAAAGGAATGGACGTGGGGAGAATCCTTTGTTCCTTTCCCCACACCTGGCCTTGTGGGAATCATCTGAGCATATCAGGATCCCAACCACCCCTCTCATGGGGGTCAATTAATCCTCTATGCCGGATGGGGTTCCATCGCCCCAATCCTGCAGCACCTCCAACCTGACCCCCAAGCTGTGTCCTTCCTACAAGGGAAGGCTGAAGCTCCACACCGTTCCCACAGCAGACACTTCATCCTGGAAGAAGCTGCCATGGGCCTCTTGCACACTTGACTGCTTGGCCAAAGGTGACTGGAGGCGTGTAAATTCAGCACCACCGAGAAAAGTCACTGGAGCAGAGGAGATGTGGAATGAAGATAAATGGGGACCACAAAGGTCTGCAAAAAGGCAGCCAGGCAGGTGGGAACGGTACACCCAGGACGAAAAGCATCTGCTGTCACCAAAGTTAATCGGCAGCAAAGTTAATTCAGCCGTGGTGCATCGCCTCTTCTGGGCTGTCCCCGCCGGCTGCAGTTCCAGCCCTTTCTTTTCCTTCTAAGCATGTTGGAGCTCTGTTTAAAAATAGCCAAGGAATCATAGACTCATCACCAAGGTTCATCTAGGCTGACCCCCCCGCAATGCAGGAATCGCAGCTAAAGAACCTCTGACCAGTGCCTGATTTACATATAAACAAGCTATAGCTTAGGGCCCCACTCTCTTGGTGGCCCCAAAAAAATTTAAAGAGGAAAAAACTGGTTGTACATTTCCAAAAGATGATAAAAAACAAATAAAATAAAACCTATATATAGCAACAGTGTTTTGTGTTGTGTAGGCTCCTATGATGTAAGTAATGGGCCCCCAATCATTTGAAGTTAGAGCTTAATAATTATTTCACTATTAATATACTTCTTCTTAATTGTATTTCACTATTAATATACTTCTTCTTAATTGTATTTCAGTTCAACAATTACTTTGATAAAATACATATTTTGTTATGTGCAAATGGCTTTAGAGACTTATTAGGGCCATAAATTACCATATAGCATACACTGTATATTCAACACAGAAAACAGTGAGAATTTGTTGTTGACAAAGGACAGCTGGACATATAAAGGGCCCCATTACCTTCAGGAGCTGAGGGCCTCATCAAACCTAAATCCGGCCCTGCCTCTGACAGAAGGTCACCCAAGCTCTGCTTAAAAACCTCCCATGAAGAAGAGCCCATTGCCTTCTGAGGGAGTCTGCTCCCCTGTTGAAGGCTCTCACCACCAGAAGATTCTTCCTAATGTTTAGTCAGAATCTCCTTTCATAGAATTTGAACATACTTCACTGGGTCCTGCGCCCTAAAAAGGCTTGTGTTGCACCCCCTATTTTCTTCTCCTCTCTGATTTGCTAGAGGTCTATGTAAGGGCACACAATGATCTATGTACACACTACCCCCTTCCCTTTCAAAAAGCCGACTCCTGGAATGCAAAGTAGGGGCCACAACTTACATCACAGCCCGGACTGGGCAGCCGTCTTGAACATACTGGTCCCGGTAATCTCGGACAACTTTGGCAGGAATGGGCATCGCACTAGTTCTCACACAGCAGTCCATGACCTGATAATCACCAGAAACTGAGGAAAGGAAAGGAAAAATCAATGTGTAAGGGAGGGGAAACGGAGGGTCTGCCCTTCTCTCGGCTCCCTTTGCAGTCCAGGTTAGAGAAAGAGAAGCGCCTTGCTCCAAGGCCACCCGTTGCCCCTTCTCGGCTACAGCAGGCACAGCCCAGCCAGAGCTGGCAAGGATCCCATCTGGCAAGTGGTCAAGTGGGCAATGGGAAAGGAACAACAGCATCTTCATCCATCAGGTCAGCTTCCTCCAGAAGGTACTGGCTGCCAGCATCTACCTGCATAGCCCAAATCTCCAGGGTCCTCTGACTACAAGGCTATAGTAGCAGAAGCAGAGGCCAGTCTTGTGGGACATGGCAGCAAATATAAGGCAGTAAACATGAAAAAGGGTTTGCAGTCAGTCTGAAAAGGGGCTTTCCAAACAAGACATGTGGGCATTAAAATGGCAAATATTTTTATTTCAGAAAAGGTATACACCACTTGACTGTTTTTAAAAAAAAGCCTCAAAGAGAGAAAAACCATAAAATTATCAGTTTTTTAAAAAACCATGACAACAACTCTGCGAATCTTTCAGAACATAAAATCAACAATAAACTAAACATAGATTAAAGTACATTTTACATTATAGATGTCTGGACAGACTTCTCTAAACAAAAATGTTTCAGCAGGTGTTGAAAAGGGTACAGGGAAGGTGCTGGCCTGATGTCAATTGACAGGGAGTTCCAGAGTGTAGGAGTTGCCACACTAAAAGATTGATTTCTTACAAATGAGGAAGGGGTGACAGTGCCAGTTCCGCTGACTGCAGCGGTCAAGTGGGGCAAGGACCAGGCAAACTGGTCCTCAAGTTGCTAAGGGATTTAATACTAAGACCTTGAACTTTGCCCGGAAACAGGTTCGAAACCAGTGCAGATCTCTGAGTGCAAGGCCTCCCTCCTGTCAGCAACTGCGTTGCAGCATTCTGCACCGACTGCAGCTTCCAGAGCAAGCGCTAGTGAAGACCCACCATTTGCAAAGGGGGTTAACCGCTAGGGGACGCAGCCCAGGTCGAGGGACTTCCCCATCATTTACTGGGAGCCAGAGAGCATTGGCAGGGAAACGCTTGAGTGCCAACTTCAAGGCAGTGGAATTCAGGAAGGGAGAGAGGAAGAGGAAGGGCTCCCCTGCCCTGGAGAGGCCCAGCCGAAAGAGCTCCTGAATGTTGGACCCAGCAATGTGGCAGCCCACAAGGGGAGAAGATGTTCTCTCTTACCCTGCTGGGTGCTCCAGATGCAGAGAGCCACCAACCCAAGGATCCAGCCGCCGCCGTGTGCTGCCATGCCTGCTGCCATGCTGTGGGTGCCAAGGAAGCCGCAGAGAGGAAGAACGACCCAGCCAGCCCTGGGTAACTGGTGCTCTAGTGTGGAGCCAGCTCCCACCTCTCCTATTTATTGCGATCCCTTGCTCTCGTTTTCACTTTCTTGGTGTGAGTAACAGAGGAAATCCCAGGGAACCAGAGACAGAGGTGAACAAGAAGAGGCCCAGGCAGGGCTTGTGGCCTGGGCACTGCGCCAGGAATGCCAGCCTGCTGCGGCACCTGAGGGCTTGGTCTCTTTGCTCAAGGTACATGGCTTGAGTCCTGGAGAATGTGAAGGGGTTCTTGGGCAGAGGGAGGCAGAATCATAGAACTGTAGAGTTGAAAGGGACTCACAAGTGTCACAGAGTCTAACCCCCTGCAGTGCAGGAACCACAGCCGAAGAATCCCTGGCAAATGGCCACCCAACCTCTGCTTATAAACCTCCAGTGCGGTAGAGCGCAACACCTCCCAAGGGAGTCCATTCCACTCTCAAACAGCTCTTAGCATCTGGAAGCTCTTCCTGATATTTAGTCAGAATAGTCCTACCCTTGCTCCTTCTTCCATGGGGCAGCCCTCCAGATATTTGAAGATGGCTCTCATATCTACTCTTAGCCTCCTCTTTTCCAGGCTAAACATACCCAGCTCCTTCAACCGCTGCTCATAAGGCTTGGCTTCCAAACCCTTGATCATCTTGGTTGCCCTCCTCTGCACATGTTCCAGCTTGTCAACATCCTTCTTAAATTGTGGTGTCCAGAACTGGACATAGTATTCCAGGTGTGGTCTGTTCAAGGAAGAATAGAGTGGGACTATACCTCTGTTGATGCAGCCTAGAATAGCATTAGCTTTTTATGACTCACAATGTTCTCATGTTCAGCTTGTGGTCCACTAAGACCTTTAGATCCTTTTTGCATGTACTACTGGCAAGGCAGGTGTCCCCCATCCTACGTTTGTGCAGCTGGTTATTCCTGCCTATGTGTAGAACATTACTTTTGTCTCTATTGAAATTCATTTTGTTAATTTTGGTCTAGTTCTCTAAGACTAGTGTTACAGGGTTGGGTCAAATAAAAAAGTTAAAGGAGCTTGCTAATGGGTGCTGATGTTTCTGTAAAAAGGAGCTATAGTTCAAATGGTGGTGGGATCCTGGAACGATCTGTTTTGCCATTTGCATTGTAGGGTTCCAGTCAATGTCAATTTCGGTGTGGGATCTAGTCCTATACCACCAAATTCATGCTGTCAAATTATGGTTGATTTTGGGAGGCCTTGCGCAGAAAACTCACTTCCTCCAGAAGATCGTACTTTTTGCAAGATGCAGGACAGGATAGGGCTCTTGTGCTCAGCTCCTGCTTGTGGGATCTTTTTATAGTCTTACGTTCTTCAGGTGCATGTGTACAAAGAAAGGGAGGACATTTCACAAACTAGACCACAGCAGCCACTGTCTGGTCACAATGAAGATGGAATTTCAAGGAACATTGTTTTATGTTTTTAACAGCGTCTAATCTCCCCGGAGGGACATGGGTGGTGCTGTGGGTTAAACCACAGAGCCTAGGGCTTGCTGATCAGAAGGTCAGCGGTTCGAATCCCCGCGACGGGGTGAGCTCCCGTTGTTCGGTCCCTGCTCCTGCCAACCTAGCAGTTCAAAAGCACACCAGCGCAAGTAGATAAATAGGTACCGCTCCGGCGGGAAGGTAAATGGTGTTTCCGTGCAATGCTGCTCTGGTTTGCCAGAAGCGGCTTAGTCATGCTGGCCACATGACCCGGAAACTGTACGCCGGCTCCCTCGGCCAGTAGTGAGATGAGCACCGCAACCCCAGAGTCGGCTGCGACTGGACCTAATGGTCAGGGGTCCCTTTATCTTTATCTTTAACCTCCCCACAAAGAGATGAGAGTGGATGCTCAATAACCACTTTGTCTGGAAGTCCCTGGTGCTGCATCAAGTAAATGTTATTCCCCGCCCATTTGCAGTGCATTTCCCATCATTTTCCTTATTGCAAAAAGTCTGGTTTGGGGTGCAAGAGCATCTGTTTGTGCAAGTTCTTCCCATCAACTTTAATTGCGCAACCTGCATAGCGACTGTCTGGAAGTGCCCTGGGTTTCTCCCTTCCCTCTCCCTATCCCCTGCTCAGTTTATAGACATAATTGTGTACCTTCATTTACCATTTCCTCCTGGAACATCTGACTGCTTGTGGGGAAAGGGAGCACCAAGGAAACCCAAGTATTGCCCCAGAGAGTGAACAGAGTCCCTTCCCCACACCACTGGGGGCAAACTGACCTCTGGGTGACCAGAAAGCTTACTTGGCCAATGATGGGCTAGATGAGGGCCAATAAACTGGCTTGAATGCTAGCAAGATGGATGTGCTCTGGGGTTCCCATGTCCAGATCATTGATCAATTGCCTGCTTTTGGATGGGGTCTTACTCCCCCGAAACAGCAGGTTTGTAATCTAGGGTGTTCCTGGATCCATCTTGGTTGCTAAAGATTCAGGTGACCTCAGTGCCTAAGAATGCCTTCTACCATCTTTGGCTGGTAAGACAGCCGTGGCCGCTTGTGCACCAGGATAGCCTGTCCACACTGTTGTCTAATCACCAGTAACCTCCAGGCTGGGTTGCTGCAAGGCACTTGATGTGGGGCAGCCCCTTGCTGTTGGTCAGAAGCTGCAGCCAAAGTAGTGACTCACCTGCTCAAAGGGGGAGGATATTGCCAGCAAGTTGTCTTACTGTTGGGAGAATTGTGCTGGCTGCCAGTCGGCGACCTTGCTAAGTTCAAGGTGCTGTTTTGGGAGGATAATGCCCTATGCAGCTCAGGATCAGGATACCTCCAATATCGTCTCTGCACTCAGCAGGTGAGTGCATCTTTTCAGGAGGTCCGTTCCTTTAATTTGGAGGCACTGGTCCTTTGGAACTGCCTCCCACTTGAAAATTAGATGGGCACTCTCTCCATTGACTTGCTGCTGCCTACTGGGGCCCTTTCTCTTCTGACGAGCCTTTCATTCTGTGCTGACCACAATGTCTGCAACTGACTTAAGAAATTCCCTTTATGGCTCCTATACAGCCTTCTAAAAGTCATCTGCTGAAGTTTTCAGAGGAAGCTGCTCTTTCTCTCCAGCAGAGACTTCTCCAGGCACTGGATCCCCCGTTTTACAAGCCAGAAATTGAATACAGTATGTGCTCTACCACTAAGCGATAATCCCTCTGCCATGGGAACTACTGATGGCGGGGTTAGCTGTGATTCCCACTCTGCTGAGGGTTGGACTAGACAGACCTTTGGGTATCTTCCAACGCTACAAATCTATGATTCTGTGATGAAGGAAAAAATGGAGTTTCCTCCTGGCAGCCTGCAAAACTGTGACCAGGAGGCTCAGCAAATCAGCCCAGTCTGCCTGTTTCTTACATCCTGGAGTCGGCTTGGCTCTATCCTGAGACCAGCAACTCATCACAGCAGTTACTATCTCTTTCATTTTTTCTTAATCTGCAGCGTTGCACTGCAAACGATTTCTTTTCATAGAATTCTGTACCCTTCCCTTTCCAGAGAAATCACTTTGAATTCCCCACTTCTCCAGATGTTTGGGAGAGGGGGGTTGAAATACTTTGAAAGAAGGTTTCAAAGTGAAATTGAGGTCCCTTCCCCTTTTCAGAAATACACTTCTTTCCTTATAGCCCAGCTGCGTGAGGGCAAGAGGTTGCCCAACCACACCCAAACACCGGCACTTAATCTGTAGTCCCTCTGACGTTTCCAAGAAATGCTCAATATAGAAAGGAAAGGAGAGAGCCTCTGAAGAGCAGGTGCGTGAACATTTTTTGCAGAGCCAGAAGCCCACCAGCCAAATCCCACTGTGAGTTTCAAGTGATGCGGGGAGCAAAGGAGGAAATTTACCTCTTCAGTGAGCCAGTGTGGTGTAGTGGTTAAGAGCGGTGGACTCGTAATCTGGGGAACCAGGTTCGCTTCCCCACTCCTCCACATGCAGCTGCTGGGTGACCTTGGGCTAGTCACACTTCTATGAAGTCTCTCAGCCTCACTCACCTCACAGAGTGTTTGTTGTGGGGGAGAAAGAGTATAATAATAATAATAATAATAATAATAATAATAATTAATACACTCTGGGCGGCTTCCAGCAGAACACTAAAATACAATAACCTATTAAACATTAAACGCTTCCCTACACAGGGCTGCCTTCAGATGTCTTCTAAAAGTTTCGTAGTTATTTTTCTCTTTGACATCTGGTGGGAGGGCGTTCCACAGGGCAGGAGCCACTACCGAGAAGGCCCTCTGCCTAGTTCCCTGTAACTTGGCTTCTCGCAGTGAGGGAACTGCCAGAAGGCCCTTGGCGCTGGACCTCAGTGTCCGGGCAGAACGATGGGGGTGGAGATGCTCCTTCAGTTATACTGGGCCGAGGCCATTTAAGGCTTTCAAGGTCAGCACCAACACTTTGAATTGTGCTCAGAAACGTACTGGGAGCCAGTGTAGGTCTTTCAAGACCGGTGTTATATGGTCCCGGCGGCCGCTCCCAGTCCCCAGTCTAGCTGCCGCATTCTGGATTAGTTGTAGTTTCCGGATCACCTTCAAAGGTAGCCCCACATAGAGCGCATTGCAGTAGTCCAAGCGAGAGATAACTAGAGCATGCACCACTCTGGCAAGAGGACGCAGGGGAAAGTAGAATGTTAGCCGCTTTGAGACTCTTTAGAGTAGTGATAAAGCAGGATATCAAATCCAAACTACTCTTCTTCTCCTTCTTCTTCTTCTTCTTCTTCTTCTTCTTCTTCTTCTTCTTCTTCTTCTTCTTCTTTCTCAACACCAGGCTGGTTAGCCTGTCTGTGGGACATGTTCTGGTAGCAGCACCACCACACGAGATGCTACCAGAACTCAGGTCAGGTCTTGGGAGATTTACTAGGGGCTGCAGGGTCCATCATCACCACTACCTCTCCCCAGGGCGAGAGGAGGACAACACAGAATTGCACCACCTATGCCTTCCAGTGGTTGACAGGGTAACTAGGTTTCGGCAAGGTGTGGGGCACCCATATTTCATCTACATTCTGCAATGGCTTCCACCTGCTTCCTCTGCCCACCCCTCGAGGTGGAGTCCTACCCCCAGCCCAAGGTGGAGGTGCTTTTCTGCCCAGAAGAATAACAGATCCCTGAGTGTCTACAAGAAGCGTGACCTGCTGTTCTTCTTTCACTTTTCAGAGCCAAAACAGATGTGATGTTAATTGTGTGAATGAATTTCCCTATGGACACCGGCTGAGCCCTGAAGCTAGATGGAAATGTTGGAAGCCTAATAAAGGAAGCCTTTGCTGAACTCTGTCCAGATGTTTTTGGATACTGTGCAGCTCTAGTCTTGGGAAGGAAGGGTGGTCTGGAAAAAGAGACTCCCAAATCGCTGTCCATGGTGCTGCTCTCACCTCCTGCCAGATCTCAGCCTACCTCTATGATTCTTTTACTTTGTTTTATTGCATTTCTAGCTCACTTCATCCAAAGGTGAGGATAACAACCCTAAAACTCAAGTAAAGACAGACTTACTGAATATCCGCTCAGTAGATGAAAATCAGCTTAGACATACTGAGTTCCAGTCATTGCTGAAAGGCATCTTGAGTTACCCTGATGGCACCTCGAGAAAATGCTCCTGCTCACACTTTGCTCAATTGATGACAGCAGGAAGGACCACAGTTTTGAAGCAGCTACCAAGAAGGCAAAGATATAGAGCATGGGTAGGCAAACTAAGGCCCAGGGGCCGGATGCAGCCCAATCGCCTTCTAAATCCGGCCCGCGGATGGTCCAGGAATCAGCGTGTTTTTCCATGAGTAGAATGTGTCCTTTTATTTAAAATGCATCTCTGGGTTATTTGTGGGGCATAGGAATTTCATTCATTTCCCCCCAAAAAATATAGCCCGCCCCGCCCCAAGGTCTGAGGGACAATGGACCGGCCCCCTGCTGAAAAAATTTGCTGACCCCTGATATAGAGTCAATTGGACCCTCAATGCTTCCTGTGAAAACTTATGTGACAGACAAACCGCTTACACTTCAAGCCTAACCATGTTTACTCAGAAGTAGTGGTGGACTCTGTTAGAAGTTTTTAAACAGACGTTGACTGGTCATCTGTGGGAGATTTTTTGATTCCTGTATTTCAGGAGGTGGGAGTAGATGACTCCAAGGGGGTATCTGAGGTCCAGCTCCTAGGGCCTTCTGGTGGTTCTCTCCCTGCGAGAAGTGAGGTTGCAGGGATCCAGGCAGAGGGCCTTCTCGGTGGTGGCACCTGCTCTGTGGAACGCCCTCCCAGCAGATGTCAAGGAAATATACAACTATCTGACTTTTAGAAGACATCTGAAGGCAGCCCTGCATAAGGAAGTTTTTAATGTTTGATCTTTTATCGTGTTTTTAATATTCTCTTGGGAGCCACCCAGAGTGGCTGGGGAAACCCAGCCAGATGGGCAGGATATAAATAAATTATTATTATTATTATTCCAATTCGACGATGTTACTTCTACTCGAAGTAGACTCATTGGGTGGTATTCAACTGAGTTTTAGTTCGGGGTTGACCTTAATGAAATTAATGGACCTAACTTAATCACGTTCATTCATTTCAGTGGGTCTTCTCTGAGCATAACCTAATCAAATGCCACCCACTGGAATTCATGGCTGTGACTAACTTAGGTCTATTCATCTCGGTGTGTGAGCTGTGCGTAGAGTTTAACTGGGTGCAACCCAACATCCCTTTGTTGTCCTTAAAAGTGATGCCGATTGGAGACTCCCTTTTAGTTTTTTGCAGGCAGGAAATGCTGTCACATCCCCAGGCAGGCAGAGCTGATGGAAGAAAAGCAAATTTTTTTGGCCCTGCTTGGGGGAATTTGGCAGAGCAGAGAATTCCCCCTCCCTCTGCACCGCCCCCCCCAACCCCATCCACCAAAATGTGTGATAATGGAATGTGAATGGAGCAGTAAAGATTTGCTGATAGCGCTCAGGTTCATGTATCCTTTTATCAGCCTATGTTATCTCAGTAGTTCATGATTAAACAAAGTCCTTGGCACAAGTCATAACGCTTTATAGCTGCAAAAGCACAACACACGCCCCTGTTAAAAAGCCCCTTCCTTTGTGGGTTAGGCAACAGAAAAAGAGAATGAAAGACACCATTTGCACAACGTTTGCACTCAGAACCCTGGAATTGTTTCCTTCACAAACGCCACAGATTATTATAATTATTGTTGTTGTTATTATTATTATTATTATTATTATTATTATTATTATTGTAATATTTCAGATAAATCCACTTCCCTGTAGTTAAAATTTATTTATTTTGTTTCATAAAATCTATACACCATTTGGTTTTGAAAAGAAAAGAACTCCCCCCCCAAGAAGCTTACAAAAAAAGACAAAACAATAGGGAAATGTAATAATTTAGGACTTTCAAAGAGTTAAAATAGCAATGGACCACAAACAGATTAAAACTCGCATCAGCTTTCTAAACATGTGAGTCGGCTTCTCTAAACCAAAATGATTTTAGCAGGCAGCAAAAACAGTGCAGTGGTGGCACCTCTGCCTGGTGTCAAGAGGCAGGGAGTTCCAAAGTTTTAGTGCTGCCACACTGAGAGATAGAGCTCTTACAAATGTGGAGCAGGTGTTATGCGTCACCTGCAGCTGTGCCAGTTCCACAGATTGAAGTGTTCAGGTGGGCATGTATGGAGGAAGGAGATCTTACAGGTAAACAGGTCCCAGGTTGTGAAGGGCTTTTTAAGTACTAGTAGTAACACCCTGTATGTATGGAAGTGAGAGCTGGACCATAAAGAAGGCTGATTGCTGAAGAACTGATGCTTTTGAATTCTGGTGCTGGAGGAGACTCTGGAGAGTCCCATGGACTGCAAGAAGATCCAACCTCTCCATTCTGAAGGAAATCAGCCCTGAGTGCTCACTGGAAGCACAGAGCCTGAAGCTGAGGCTCCAATCCTTTGGCCACCTCATGAGAAGAGAAGACTCCCTGGAAAAGACCCTGATGTTGGGAAAGATGGAGGGCACAAGGAGAAGGGGACGACAGAGGACGAGATGGTTGGATGGTGTTCTCGAAGCCACAAACATGAGTCTGACCAAACTGTGGGAGGCAGTGGAAGACAGGAGTGCCTGGCGTGCTCTGGTCCATGGGGTCACGAAGAGTCGGACACAACTAAACGACTAAACAACAACAACAAAGTAACACCCTGGACTTGGCATGGTAGCAAATCGGCAGCCGGGGCAGATCTCTGAGCACAGGAGTCACCATACTTTTCCGTGTATAAGATGAGTTTTTTTTACTCTAAAATAAGCTTTAAAAACTGGGGGCGTCTTATACATGGGTAGTGGGTAGGGGTGACGGGTGATTGGTTGCAGCTGCGAGCTGCAGATTGTCATTGGCAATTTCGTGTGTGATTGGTGGCTGTGGCAAGGGCTGTTGTGGATTGGCTGCGGCGGCGGCAATTGTGCTTGCTATTTCCTCCTGCTGTTTGCGATCGGGCAGATGCTTGTTGCAGACGCGAGCAATGCGAGCTATTGTCAGCAAGCTGTGCGAGCAATTTTAACAACAACTTAGAGGGCCATCCTCCCCAAAAAAAGCTCCACAACTCTGTGTCATTTTCTTAGATTAAAGGTAAAGGTAAAGGGACCCCTAACCATTTGAGCAGCAAGTCATGACAAGTCTATTGAGCAGCAAGTCATGACAAGTCACTAACACAGTTAATAGTAAAGGTAAAGGGACCCCTGACTGTTAGGTCCAGTCGTGACCTACTCTGGGGTTGCGGCGCTCATCTCGCTTTTCTGGCCGAGGGAGCTGGCGTCCAGCTTCCGGGTCATGTGACCAGCAGGACAAAGCCGCTTCTGGTGAACCAGAGCAGCGCACGGAAACATCATTTACCTTCCCGCTGGAGCGGTACTTATTTATCTACTTGCACTTTGACATGCTTTCAAACTGCTAGGTTGGCAGGAGGAGGGACTGAGCAACAGGAGCTCACCCCGATTTGAACTGCCAACCTTCTGATCGGCAAGTCCTAGGCTCTGTGGTTTAACCCACCGCACCACCTGCATCCCTTTTCTTAGATTGGAGTCCCCCAAAATAGGGGACGTCTTATACACGGGGGCGTGTCATACACGGAAAAGTATGGTATATGTTGACAAGATCTCACTCCCGAACTGCTTCTTTTCCCTGCTCTTTGGGTGGACAATATGCTTTGCTCTGGGGTCCCTTTATTGTGTGGGAATCATTCATTTTCAACATAAAAAGACCCCTTTGCTAAAGGGCAGGACTAGGAAAGGTGGGATCCGAACCCTCCATTGACATCAGCAATCTCTTCTTGGCATTGGATTATTCTCTTGGGCTGAGAGAGCAAATAAAGAAGGAACCACATGCACATGGTAAGAAGTAAAATGTTTTTAATCAAGCAAACTGCAGTATAAAACAGTGGGGACCGTTACACAGAGCAGAAGGAGACAGGCTTATATACCAGATTACATGCTTCGCTTATGACATTGCAAAGATGGGAGCATGGCCACACGAGTGCCAGCTTTCCCATTCCTAAATGCCCACAACCATCGCCTATTATATGAGGAGTGGTGACCGATTTCTCTCTCTCCCTCTTTCCCCCAACAAACTAGATTCAGTCATCCGACGAATTCATCCAAGGCTTTCCCAATGCTTGCTTGCCAGAAATGCTCAGTCCCATGGCCTTCGAGGCCCCATCATTGTGGGGAAACGGGAAGCTGCCATCGTGAAGGAAGTACCCAGTGTTTAGCTTATCATCATTATTATTTTAATACAATTGTTGAAGAAGGACAGAAAGCCTTGGCCAGATGTGCAAGGCTTATGCTGTGTTTGCTCTGGGGTTAGGGAAATCCACAGCTGAGCATGTCCTGAGATGTGTCCATTTCATTCATTCACATGATTCAGGGATGGGGCCTGGCATCAGAGACATAGAATCAAAGAATTGTAGAGTTGGGGGGGGACCCAAAAGGCCATTTAGTCCAACCCGCTGCAATGCAGCAGGACTAAACCCAGACTAAGGGCCCCTTTCATGGGTGCTTGCTAGTCAGGGGCTCAGAATCTCTCTATTTGCAAGGGTTGAATGAATAGCTGCCATGGGCTCCATGTTCTCCACCCTGGAAATTCAGGCGCTGACATTTTCAGTCTAATCTACCAAACAGAGAAGTGGGAGGCGCTTTTCAAGGAAGAAACAAGAGGCTAGATTAACTGAGAAAGAGGATTTAAAGGGGTCCCGTCCCACCCACCCCCAGGTCCACATTTGCAGAGAAGAAGGTAAGCACAGAGGCCAATCTCTTTGTCCATGTTCGCGGCAGAGGGATTTCCTTCGTAATTCCAGTCCGTGAGGCAGTGATGGCGTGTTCTCCTGGAGGAGAAAAGGAGAGCGGTTGGTTGGAGAGATCAAATGAAGCAGGAAAAAGGAAAACATAGAAGGACACAGGAGCCTGACTGCCGGATCAGAAAAAGACCACAAGAAGAGCCTGCGCTGGATCAGGCCAATGGTGCATCTAGTCCAGCATTCCCATCTCACGCTGGCTGACCAAATCCCTCTGGGAAATCTGCAATCAGGATCTGAGCTCAAGAGCACCCCCTCTCCCCTCCAACTGGTATTCAGAAGCCTTGCTCCCTCCAGCTGTGGAGGCAAAGCAGAGCCATCCTGGGTAATAATAATAATAATAATAATAATAATAATAATAATATTTATACTCCACCCTTCCTGGTTCAAAAACCAGGCTCAGGGCGGCTAACAACAAATTTAAAACACTTTAAAACACTTAATTATAAAAGCAGCATCAAATACAGTATAAAAACATGAATAACAATAAAATTCAATAATCAATTAGATAATCCCCAGGGCTAGCTGGCTGAATTGGTCCTACTTGTACCAGCGAGGAGGCCAGGGGAGAATTAGCTGTGGGGTCTCAAAGCAGGTAATCTTCATAAAAGGGGAGAGGGAGGGAAGGAAGGGGAATAAAAGATCAGGCTGAATTCAAATTAAAGGCCAGGCGGAACAGCTCTGTCTTACAGGCCTGATGGAAGGAGGTTAAATCCTGCAGAGCCCTGGTCTCATGGGACAGAACATTCCACCAGGTCGGAGCCATCACTGAGAAGGCCCTGGCCCTGGTGAGGATAGTCTGACTTCCTTAGGGCCTAGGACCTCTAAACTATGGTTAGTCATAGACCTTAAGGTCCTCTGCGGGGCAGACCAGGAGAGGCGGTCCTGTCGATACATTGCCCTAAGTCACAAAGGTAGTAGTTATCAATAGCCTTTTCATCCTCCATGAATTTGTCTCATCCTCTTTTAAAGCCATCCAACTTGGTGGCCCTCGCTGCCTCTTGTGGCAGGGAGTTCCACAGGTTAACTATGCACTGCGTGAAGAAGGACTTTCTTTGATCTGTCCTGAATCTTCCAGCTTCGTGGCCTGCCCATGAGTTCTAGGGCTTCATTCCAGCCTCCCCTCTGTCCTCCCCCCATTGTGTCACCACAGATCCTCACCATGCCTGCCTCCTACACTCTTTGGGAGTTTTGCTGCTTGCGGTTCCTCCTCGAGTTCAGGATCTTCACAATCTGCAGAGCGTTCGCATCATCCGAACGGAAGCACAGCCAGCGCCCCTTTTTGGTGAGCAGCCTGAGCCGGGAAAGGAGAATGGAAAAGGATGAGGATGGTGGGGGGGGAGGTCTTAATCAGCCCCCACACACACACACTCTGCAACCTGCACTGCCCCCTTAACAGAAGACACCGTCCCCAAGACAAACAGCCTTGTCCAGGGAACCAGGTTTTATGGTACTTCATTCCGTAAAATGCACACGCCACTTGACTGTAAAACAGCAACCCCCAAAGCAGTTTACAAAAAAGATAAAACAAGAAAATTATCAGGAAGAAAAATTAACAACAAGGTTTTGAGACATTTGAAAAGTTAAAATAACAACAGTCCAAAATCAAATTAAAACTTGCACCAATTTTCTAAATATCTGGGTGGACTTGCTGAAACAACAATGTTTTTAAGAGTGCTGCGAAGGCGACTTTCTGGTATCAATAGGCGGGGAGTTCCAAAGTTTAAGTGCTGCTACATTTCATTCAACTACTCAACCCCCTCAGTATTTATTTATTATTGTTTATTTCTCGTATTTATATCCCAACTTTTTCTCCAAGGAGCTCTAGGTCCTCCCTCTCCTCCTTTAATCCCCCACAGAAAACCCTGTGAGGTAGGTAGGCTAGACTGAGAGGCAGGGACTGTCCTAAAGGTCATCCCTTCAGCTTCATGGCCAAGTGGGGATTTGAACCCGGACCTCTCCAAGTCCTCACTGAATCCCCACAACATCCCTGGGAGTTAGGTTAGCTCAAGAGGCAGTGTGATTGGCTCATAGTGAGCTTCATGGCCGAGCAGGTATTTGAACCCTGCTCAATCCAACACTCTAACCACTACACCACACTGCCTTCCCCTGGATCCTAACTTGGGGGATACCTACATGGATGTGTGACTGGAGAGCCCAAGGGAGTTTAAAGCACATTTAAAGTAGACACCCCCCGGGCAAGAATTCTGGGAACTGTAGTTTGCTGGGGGTGTGGGGAATTGCAGTTCTGTAGGGGGTGAACTACAGCTCATCTGAGTCTTAGGAGGAAGCTGAGTGCTTTGAATATAGGATGGGGGTGACCATTATCTGGAGCACAGGGTGGTCTCTGCATTCCCAGAAACCCCCTCCCCAATTTGCCAGGTACTCACGCAATGGCCTGGAGAGTGCAGCCCATATGTGGCCCCTGGTTCTCGTAAGACTGTATACGGTGGGCCATATTAACAGGGAGAGGCTTGTTGCTGAATCGAGAGCAGCAGTCCTGCACGGTGTTCAGTCTTCCTGGATAAGAAAAGAGAGGGAACTTTGGGTGAGGGGGGCACATTTGTGTGCTCTTCTGAAGCCCAACTACACTCAGGTGTATGTGAAAGCTGGTAGATTGTTTTGAATGCATTGCATGGGGTTGGACTAGAGGACCCTTTGGGGCTCGGTCAACTCTACAATTCTATTTTTCTGTGGTTCTATTAACTGTGTTGAGGGACGCAGGTGGCGCTGTGGGTTAAACCACAGAGCCTAGGGCTTGCCGATCAGAAGGTTGGCACTTCAAATCCCCGCGACGGGGTGAGCTCCTGTTGCTCGGTCCCTGCTCCTGCCAGCTTAACAGTTTGAAAGCACGTCAAAGTGCAAGTAGATAAATAGGTACCGCTCTGGCGGGAAGGTAAACAGCATTTCCGTGCGCTGCTCTGGTTCGCCAGAAGCGGCTTAGTCATGCTGGCCACATGACCCGGAAGCTGTACGCCGGCTCCCTCGGCCATTAAAGCGAGATGAGCGCTGCAACCCCAGAGTCGTCCACAACTAATGGTCAGGGGTCCCTTTACCTTTACTATTAACTGTGTTAGTAACTTGTCATGACTTGCTGCTCAATAGACCTGGAGCTGACAGGTCAACTTGCCCCAACTCAGCTTTTAAACCATGTGGGTTTCTAGGGCTAGTGGGCTCTTGGCCTCAGTTCCTTCATCTGTAAAATAGGCACAGGGAGGCTTTTGCAGGAACACAGAAAGAGTTCCGAATGTGGTGCTGGACACAGAATTCAGTTCCCTGAGAATCAAAGCTTGTTCGCTTTGCATTTTAAAAGAAAATTGCAGGTCCTTAGATTGCCCTTTGCATCCCTCCCAACTTCACAGTTCTACGAGCCTATGAAATATGGTAATTAAATAAGCCCAGAATCTTCTCCCAAAATTAAATAATACAATTAACCCTGGATCCTCCGCCAAATTTAATTAACCCAGAATTAAATAATGCAAAGCAGCAATAAGGGCAGAATGTATTTTGTAAAATCAGGGTAGCCAAACCAATTTCCCTCAAGTTTCCGAGTTGCAGATTCCAGCTATTCTAGGTAGATAAATCCGGGCTGCCCCCAGCTGAGTGTACAATAGGCAGCTGTGACAGGTTTGCTGAGCAAATGTCTTTAACGGTAAGAAGCATTTGCACTTGGAAACTGCCGTTTAACAAAATACAGAACCTACTAGAGGAAGCATAAAAGATGCCTGCAGTCCAGGAGCAGCCGCTGGAAGGGAGGAGGAAGAGAAGCATCTGTTGCTTGCAAGGAAAGAAATGAGCTCTGGGCTGGGACTTCTCTTGCAACCACATAAGCCCTGCAATGCCAGCAGCACACTCCCCTGAAATTGCAGGCAGGGGCTAATGCCTGCTTAAGCATCACAACATCTCTCCAGAAACTAAGTCCCTTTCTCTCTCTCCCCACCACCACATTGTCTCTCTCTCACACACACACACAGATGCACATAGTACCTTCGGCTTGGAAGACGCACAAAGCTGCAGCCAGAGCCAGGAGGCAGATGCTGGGCAGAGAAGGGAGAGCCATCTCTAGGGCAGAGGTTCACAGCTGGATTCTCAGGAGGCTTGTCAGTCAGGAGGCTGCAAGAGAGATGGACTGCCTGCTGTGTGCTGCCCCCCTCTATATACTTCCTCCGTTAAGACTTTCGCTTTCTTTTCGCCTCGCCTTGGCATCTGGCCTGCTTTCCTGCCTGGACGTGTGTTGAACTTGGGGAAGGGGTTCAGATGCCATCGGATAGTCCAGTTGAACAGCCGCCAGTCCCTGGAGCAGATTCAAGGCGATGTCACACAGGCTAATAGTATGCATGTGCACATGTTTTGTTTTTGCATTATTTTAAACTGCAGATTACAGTAAGTAGCGTGCGTCTTTCCAACTGAGGAAACACCATCCAGATTTCAGGGAACACGATCCTGCTCCTCCTGATGTCTCAATCTCCTCACAAAGCTTTATGGCGGGTCAGGGCTGCCCAAGATGATTCACTGCCTGAGACAAAGGATCCGTCCAGTGGTTCCCGAAACGTTTTGGGGTCACACACCCCTTGGCTCCACAAACTCATCCCCAATGCCCTCTACCCTATAAAAAGCAGTTCCCAGAATAGTGGTTCGCATGACCCACTAAGGAAGATCTTAACGCGATAAAATTCAAACAGCAACAATTAATTGCATGTTTATTCAAAATCCAGCTCAAACTATTTCGTTTAATTGAGACAACAAAACTGATTAGCTTTATCCAGTGAGACCAGCTTTTTAAAGTCTGATGGTCATTTAGCAAGAGTCTCAGTAACTACTTCCCTGTTTAGTAAATTATTTCATGCAATGGGTGGACTTGATGAAGTGACGCCAGTTTCCCAATGTCTGGTTTAAAGTCAAAATATACAAAAATAAAAATAAAAAATTGTCCAGTAGCACCTTAGAGACCAACTAAGTTTGTTCTTGGTATAAGCTTTTGTGTGCGTGCACACTTCTTCAGATATGGGTATTGTAATAATTATAGGGGTTGCTCGTGCGTAAGTTGCCGCCACTCCTGGCTAGGTTGCCTGGTTAAACCTTTTCTGTCTGGACAGCCCTTCACTTCGTGGCTGTTTCAGTCGCTAGCAGAATCCGTCAGTGGGCGTTTCTTAAACCTTTTCCAGCATAAAAGCTGTTTGACCCCAAGTCTCCTCCTACTCTCCCTGCGTGGAAGTCTTCTGCGCAGGGAGGGTGTTGGTAGCGGAGGACCCGTGCTCTCCCCGCTGGTCTCCGGCGAGGAGTCCTGGAGCCCCCTCGCCGATTCCCCCATCTGCCCCCCTTTATCCCTGGTGTTACGCTGATTCCCTTCCCCAGCTGATGAACTGCCTCTCTCCCTGCTGGGCCCTTCTCCAGCATCGCTTGGGAGCCTTGCCTCCACCTCTGGCTCCAATGTCAGTTCCCTGACAGGTATCTTATACCAAGAACAAACTTAGTTGGTCTCTAAGGTGCTACTGGACAATTTTTTTATTTTTTTGTATATTTCAACTACGTCAGACCAACACGGCCACCTATCTGAATCTGGTTTAAAGTCATTTAGGAGGAGTTTCAAATCACCACGTTCAGTACGCTGGAGTCAATTTCTTTGCTTGGAGAGAAGTTGGATGACCACACTAAAGGCACGTCCCAGGAAAAAGGATGTCGCAAATGCAACAAGGAGCTTCTTAACCACTGCCCATGGGGCAGGATAGCGATCAGAAATTGCTTTGAAAGCGATGTAACATTTCAAACACAAAGTCAAGAAAGGAGTGGGCTGTAGCCTGGTCAGTTGTAAGTGGTCAATGATCTTGGAGGGGTCCATCTCCAGTGCCCCCCTGCCCCCACCTTGCCTCTTAACATCCCACTAGATAACCCATCCACATCCCAGGGGCTGTAGCACCCACATTGGGAACCACTGGACTAGAGGGGTATCTGCCTTCTCCCCATTCCACCTGCAGAAGCTCAGTGGAGTGGCACTTTGATCTTACATCAAAGCACAAAGTGGCTCAGCAGCACCCACCGTTGCACCTGGGGGATCACGGCCTGCGCTGCGCACACAGCTTGGTCCACCAAAACCTCACTGGGGCTCGCTCATCACTCTGCCTGGTGCCCACTGGCTGGATGCTCAAGCACACGCTGCAATGCAGCGGGAAAAGGGATCACATGAGAAATGCATTGCATGTGCACCTGTGATGTCTGCAGGGTATTAGAGCAGGCTTCCTCAACCTCAGCCCTCCAGATGTTTTGAGACTACAGTTTTCATCATCCCTGACCACTGGTTCTGCTAGCTAGGGATCATGGGATCAAAAACACCTGGAGGGCCAAGGTTGAGGAAGCCTGTACAGTCATACCTCAGGTTACAGACGCTTCGGGTTGCGTGATTTTGGGTTGTGCACCATGCTGAACCCAGAAGTACCAGAACAGTTACTTCTGGGTTTCGGCGCTTGCGCAGAAGTGCTAAATTGCGCTTGCGCATGCACAGAAGTGCCGAATTGCGATTTGCGGGTTGCAGGTTGCAAACGCTGTGGGTTGTGAACGTGCCTCCCACACAGATCACGTTCACAACCCGAGCGTCCACTGTATTAGAGGGAAAAGGAGGGAAGTTTCTAAAATGATGCATGTTGTCAAGAAACATTTTATCCCTCTCTCATAATACAAGAACCCCGCAGGGCCACCCAATGACGATGAAGGCTGGATGATTCACGACAGATAAAGTATGTCCATCTTCATGCAGCACATAGTTAAACTATGGGACTCGCCCGGGGATGTAGGAGCAAAAAAACACTAATGCTAGGCTGCATCAGCAGAAGACTAGTGTCCAGGTCAAGGGAAGTAATAGTACCACTCTGTTCTGCCTTGGTCAGACAACACCTGGAGTCCTGTGTCCAATTCTGGGCACCACAGTTTTAGGAGGATGTTGACAAACTGGAAGGTGTGCAGAGGAGGGCAACCAAGATGATCAAGAATCTGGAAACCAAGCCTGATGAGGAACGGTTGAAGGAGCTGGGTATGTTTAGCCTGGGAAAGAGGAGATGGAGAGGTCAAAGGGCTGCCCCATGGAAGATGGAACAAGTTTGTTTTCTCCTGCTCCAAAGGGTAGCGCTCGAACCAATGGATTCAAGTCACAAGAAAGGAGATTCTGACCAAACCTCAGGAGGAACTTCCCAATAGTCAGAGCTATTTGACAGTGGCACAGTTTCCCACAGGAGGTTGTAGACTTCCTTTCTTGGAGTTTTTTAAGCCAAGTTTGGATGGCCATTTGTGAGGGATGCATTAGCTAAGATTCCTGCACTACAGGGCTTAGACTAGATAACCCTCAAGGTACCTTCTGACACTACAATTCTATGATTCCATGATTTGGCTCAAGTTGAGCCCAACTCTTATTAGATTTTCAGGGACACAGTTTTGAGGAGTCTGAAGATTCAAAGAAGTGATCTGCTTTCCCGTGGGTCCTAGCAACAACTTTTGGGAAGGGCCATGAACCCAAAAGTTTCTCTTTCTCGGATTTTCAGGTGCTGCCAGTTATAATTTACATGGAGGGAAGGTTGGCCCAGGTCCAACTGCCTTTGTGGGAACTGTTCTCTGGTTTTGTTTCCCCAGTCAGATCTCATCCTGATTGCTTAAGTCAACAGCCCAGCAAAATAGAAAGTGGACCCCCCCCCCTCTGCTTCTGCCCTGCCCAGCCTTCAGGCAAAGTTCCATTTCCAGAAAAAGAGAGGCAGAAAAGGGTTGAGGAAAGTCAATTCAAAAAGGGGGACTTTCCAATGTAATGATATGCCACACGCAAACACACTGCAAGTGGGAATTAGCTGTCAAGTGGAAAGCCTTTTGCACAGGATTTTCTGGCCAGTGTTGCTTTGAAGACCTCTAGAGACTTGGAACATGTGGGCTGCCTGTTGCAAACATTCTGGCTTTCAACAACCAAGGCTTCTTTCCTCAGCAACCGCAGCAGCAAAGCACCCTCTCTTCTGGGATCTATTGACTCTCTTGCTAAGCATTCCCCATCCTGTAAGTTGCCTCCAGATTGTCAGGATTTTGTGGGAATGGTTCAAGTACACATTGGAAATTCAAGTGGATTGCAGTACTCTGTTGCCCACCCTTTTTTAAAAAATGGACTTTTTGCAGTTAGAAAAATGATGGGAAAGCATGCTGAAAATGATTAAGAGGGAGATAAATAAATGTTGTGCAAGGAGTGTCCAACCACCTTTTTGCTTGCTCTAGAGCTTTTCCTATGGAAACCCTCTCTTTAAAGCTCAGTGGAAAACCTGAACTGATGTTTGCTCCAACTGAGTGCTGAAGAGCTGGATTTTGTGGGGAGAACTCTTTCCTCGATAGCCCTCTCCTCAAATTGTCCTGTCCTTTGCAGTGAGTGGTTTGAATCCCCGCGACGGGGTGAGCTCCCGTTGCTCGGTCCCTGCTCCTGCCAACCTAGCAGTTTGAAAGCATGTCAAAGTGCAAGTAGATAAATAGGTACTGCTCTGGCGGGAAGGTAAACGGTGTTTCCGTGCGCTGCTCTGGTTCGCCAGAAGCGGCTTAGTCATGCTGGCCACATGACCCGGAAGCTGTACGCGGGCTCCCTCGGCCAATAAAGTGAGATGAGCGCCGCAATCCCAGAGTCGGCCACGACTGGACCTAATGGTCAGGGGGCCCTTTACCTTTACCTTTGCTGTGAGCGCCAAAGTACTGAAATGAAGATGCCAGTGACAAGCTGGTGTCAAGAAGCTTAGACTGTTTGCAAACCGCTTACAAGTTTCCTTACAATCAAGCAGTGTATACACTTTGTTAAATAAAGATAAAGTGAGCCGGCTTTCACAATCTTTGCCAAATCTCCAGTCTCGTATTTCATTCTGGAAGGAACTGCAACATGTTTCCAGCACCTCCTGGGACATGTTCCTCAGCCTAGTGACCTAAATTACCTATATAGGGAAGTTTGTGGTTACACCCCCTCCCTCTCTGGGCAACTATGGCATTTTCACACTTGATCCCTCTGCCCCAACTTTAGCTTCTGCCAACCAAGGAGTCACAGGATGTCCTTTGCCCACTCAGTTCTCTGTTGGGACTTATCCTCACTTCCTTTCACCCCACTGCTTTCCCCTGAAGAAAGCCACTCTTTATCCCTCAATCAGAGCTAACAGAAACCCAGTTCTCCGGATTGCCATTTGCTCTAATTTAGCATTAAAGAACAGGTTTCCCCTGGGTAAAGAGCAGAGCAAGGGGGGAGACTGCTTGGATCCATGGGACAAGTGTGGACGACCCCTTAGTCTCTGCTCATAGGGGGGGCTCTTTTTTTCTTTTTAAAGTATGTATGGAAAAGGGACGCGGGTGGCGCTGTGGGTTAAACCACAGAGCCTAGGACTTGCTGATCAGAAGGTCAGCTGTTCGAATCACCGTGACGGGGTGAACTCTCATTGCTCGGTCCCTGCTCCTGCCCACCTAGCAGTTCGAAAGCACGTCAAAGTGCAAGTAGATCAATAGGTACTGCTCTGGCGGAAAGGTAAACGGCGTTTCCGTGCGCTGCTCTGGTTTGCCAGAAGCGGCTTAGTCATGCTGGCCACATGACCCGGAAGCTGTACGCCAGCTCTCTTGGCCAGTAAAGCGAGATGAGCGCCGCAACCCCAGAGTCGGTTACGACTGGACCTAATGCTCAGGGGTCCCTTTACCTTTATGTATGGAAAGCACCTGTCAGGGAGCTGGGTCAGAGATGGGCAGGAGGGGACAGAAACAGGCCAGGCTGGACAGAGACAGATATGGAGGATATGATGGAGGACATGGAGGTCCCTTCCTGCCACTGGGAGAATGTTGCTATTTTGGGATGGACTCCATCACATGCCAACAAACCCAGGTAGCACAATCATAGCTGATTCAATACTGTTGTGCAACAAACTTCCTCCAAAAGGCTTTTTCCAATCAGCAAAGGGCTGGGAAAACGCACTGGAAAGGGCAGGATAAGACTCGCTTTGGTGCTGTGGTATCTAATCTCTCTGGAAACAAATAATAGAATTGGAAGGGACCACAAGGGTCATCTAGTCCATCTTCTGCCCAACATGGGGCTTGACCCATGGCCCTGAAATTAAGAGTTGCATGCTGTACCAACTGCTCTATCCAATCCTACAATCAGGATGAATGGTCAATAAGCAGGTGATAAGAAGCTCAGCCTTCTTGCCTTGATCAGACCCCAACTGGAGTCCCTTGTCCAGTTCTGGGCACCACAATTGGAGAAAGGTATTGACAAGTTGGAAGATGTGCAGAGGAGGGCAACCAAGATGATCAAGGGTCTGGAAACCAAACCTTGTGGGGAAAGGTTGAGGGAGCTGGGTATGTTTAGCATGGCAAAGTGGAGACTGAGAGGAGAAAGGAGATAGGTAAAGGGACCCCTGACCATTAGGTCCAGTCATGGCCGACTCTGGGGTTGCAGCGCTCATCTCGCTTTATTGGCCGAGGGAGCCAGTGTACAGCTTCCAGGTCATGTGTCCTGCATGACTAAGCCACTTCTGGCGAACCAGAGCAGTGCACGGAAACGCCATTTACCGTCCCGCCGGAGCGGTACCTATTTATCTACTTGCACTTTTTGGGGTGCTTTCGAACTGCTAGGTTGGCAGGAGCTGGGACTGAGCAATGGTAGTTCACCCCGTCACGGGGATTCGAACCTCCGACCCTCAGAAGAAAGGATAGACATCATCAAATATCTTAAGGGCTGCCACATGGAAGATGGAACATGCTTGTTTTTTCCTGCTCTGGAAGGTAGGACTCGAAGCAGTGGCTTCAAGTTACAAGAAAGGAGATTCCGACTCAACATCAAAAAGGACCTTCGGACATTAAGAACAGTGGGATGAACTCCCTTGGGAGCAGGTGAAATCTCCTATATTGGAAGTTTTTAAGCAGAGGTTGGACAGCCATTTGTTAGCTGAGATTTCTCCATTGCAGGGGGTTGGACTCTTGTGTCCCTCCCTACTCTACAATTCTTTCAAACAAAAATCAAATAAAACCAAGCCAACTCAAATGAGAAGAAAGGAGATTCTGACTAAATCTTAGGAAGAACTTTATTTGATTCGAAATTGTAGGATTGCTTTCTTGTAACCCGTCCAAGGGACCCTGTGGTGAAATGGGGAGGAGGAGGTTAGAAAAAACCCCAATATATGCCTGTTGTCTTCGTCCATGGAGTTTTCTTGGCAGGAATACTGGAGTGGCTTGCTGGTTCCTGCTCCTGGTAGTGATCTATGGAAGTGAGAGCTGGATGTATGGAAGTGAGAAGGTCGGTCGCTGAAGAATGGATGCTTTTGAATTATGGTGTTGGAGGAGACTCTTGAGAGTCCCATGGACTGCAAGAAGATCAAACCTATATCCATTCTGAACGAAATCATCCCTGAGTGCTCACTGGAAGGACAGATCCTGAAGCTGAGGCTCCAATACTTTGGCCACCTCATGAGAAGAGAAGACTCCCTGGAAAAGACCCTAGAATCATAGAATCATAGAATCATAGAATCATAGAGTTGGAAGAGACCACAAGGGCCATCGAGTCCAACCCCCTGCCAAGCAGGAAACACCATCAGAGCACTCCTGACATATGGTTGTCAAGCCTCTGCTTAAAGACCTCCAAAGAAGGAGACTCCACCACACTCCTTGGCAGCAAATTCCACTGTCGAACAGCTCTTACTGTCAGGAAATTCTTCCTAATGTTTAGGTGGAATCTTCTTTCTTGTAGTTTGGATCCATTGCTCCGTGTCCGCTTCTCTGGAGCAGCAGAAAACAACCTTTCTCCCTCCTCTATGTGCCATCCTTTTATATATTTGAAGATGGCTATCATATCACCCCTTAACCTCCTCTTCTCCAGGCTAAACATGCCCAGCTCCCTTAGCCGTTCCTCATAAGGCATCGTTTCCAGGCCTTTGACCATTTTGGTTGCCCTCCTCTGGACACGTTCCAGTTTGTCAATGTCCTTCTTGAACTGTGGTGCCCAGAACTGGACACAGTACTCCAGGTGAGGTCTGACCAGAGCAGAATACAGTGGCACTATTACTTCCCTTGATCTAGATGCTATACTCCTATTGATGCAGCCCAGAATTGCATTGGCTTTTTTAGCTGCCGCGTCACACTGTTGGCTCATGTCAAGTTTGTGGTCAACCAAGACTCCTAGATCCTTTTCACACGTACTGCTCTCAAGCCAGGTGTCCCCCATCTTGTATTTGTGCCTCTCATTTTTTTTTGCCCAAGTGCAATACTTTACATTTCTCCCTGTTAAAATTCATCTTGTTTGTTTTGGCCCAGTTCTCTAATCTGTCAAGGTCGTTTTGAAGTGTGATCCTGTCCTCTGGGGTGTTAGCCACCCCTCCCAATTTGGTGTCATCTGCAAATTTGATCAGGATGCCCTGATGTTGAGAACGATGGAGGGCACAAGGAGAAGGGGATGGCAGAGGGTGAGATGGTTGGACAGTGTTCTCGAAGCTACCTGCATGAGTTTGACCAAACTGCAGGAGGCAGTGGAAGACAGGAGTGCCTGGCGTGCTCTGGTCCAGGGGGTCATGAAGAGTTGGACACGACTAAACGACTAAACAAGAACAACATAAACATATAGGTCTCTGCTTTTCCACCTTCATGTTCCATGATCAGCCACCTTCCTCTGTGACCTCATAAGACCAGCCAGTGGCATCAGCCTCCTGGCAACCAGAAGACAACATCCATCTGGTGAGCCACTCCAAGGAGCAGGCTGGGGAAAGAGGCCAAGGGAGGTCCCATCTTGGGTGGGTCTCTCAACCACCACACCAGAGAAGAGGCCGGCTGCCCCACAGAAACCTTCCCCTTGAGGTGAGTTGCTTGGGATCTCCCAGGTCTTCCCAAAGCCAGCAAGCCACAACAGGTGGACATGAGGTGTGACCTGGATTTTAAGGATGGACCACGTAGCGTGTAGAATCTGACAGGTCTCAGGTGTGGTAGGATTCTGTCCGGGAGCTGGGGTGGGGGGAGAGATGTGCTTTTGTGAAAGACCACCTCCTTCCCTACAGACCCTCTCAGGTGCTGCGATCGGCAGAGGGGGCCCTCTTAGTAGTTCCTCCACCCTCAGAGGCTCAGTGGATGGCTGCCCAGGTGGAGAGGGTCTTCTCTGTGGTGGCCCCTGAACTGTGTAACTCACCACAGAAGTACACTTGGTCCCTTCATTGCACAGTTTCTTGAAGATGCTGAGGAGACACCTCTTTACCCTGGCTTTTGACACGTGAGGTGTAGGTAACTTTTTTTTTATTGTTGGAAGTCGCTTTAAATTACTTTTAAATTGTGTCTTAATGTTTTGCCCTTCCCTGGGACTCTATCTCACTTTGAGTCATAAGGTTTCACTAGGCGACTGAAAACCGTTACGTAAAAACCAATATTAAAATTAGCCGCTTAAAAACCGCCACCAAATCAGCTTCAGCAATGCACACATCAAACTCAATTAAAAGCATTAAAAAAGAAAATCGAGTATTTTCAGTTGCCTCCACTAAGAGAGGGAGTCTGATAGCGAAGCCTGGCCAGGAAAGGAAGTTCCAGAAGTGGGGCACCACAACCAAAAAGGCCTCGTCCCTTGTCCTCATCCAACTGATCTCAGAAAGATGGAGCTATTTTGGAAAGGGTCTCAAAAGCAACATTTCTGCCTTCAAGACAGATGCATGCAAGAGCAGGCTGTTCTCCAGCTATCTCAGTTCCAGCCCATCTCAGACTTCAAGATCAAAACCAGCTCTTGGAATTCTTCCCTGAAAAGAGTTGGCAGCCACTGTAGTTCTTTAAGTGGAGCTAAGATCCTCTCCTTCCTATTAAAAACATTCCACTTGCCCCCTGAAAACCTCCCAGCTCTCTCTAAACTTCTCCAGTCGGGTTCCAGGCAAGTTTCAGCTACATCCCCTCTCTTCTTATTCAGTTCTCAGAATGGTTTATGATAGTAACAAAGCAACTATGGGAAAGAATATCAGACAGCCTTTCTCAGCCTGTGGGTCCCCAGATGTTGTTGAACTACAACTCCCATCACCCCTAGCTAGCAAGGCCAGAGCTCAGGAATGATGGGAGTTGTAGTCCAACAACATCTGGGGACCCACAGGTTGAGAACCGCTGAAAGAGCCAGCAAAATGACAGATAAAATGATGTCCCAAGTACATAAGAAGAGTCTGCTGGATGAGGCCATTGGCCCCTCTGGTCCAGCATCCTGTTCTCACAGTGGCCAAATAACCCTAAGAACCTAGGAATTGTGATAGACTGCTCCTGCAGCTGGAGGTTCCATAAGAGCAAAAGAAGAGCCTGGCCGCATCAGACCAAAGGAGGCCCGTCAAGTCCTGCATCCTGTTCTCACAGTGGCCAAGCAGCTGCCCCAATGGGAAACTCACAAGCAGGATCCGAGCACAAGAACACTCTCTCTTCCTGTGGTTTCCAGCAACTGGAATTCAGAAGCATTGTGGCATCCAACGTGGAGACAGAGCAGAGCCATCCTGGCTCATAACCACCGATAGCCCTCTCTCCCATGAATTTGTACAATCCTCTTTTCAAGTCATCCAAGTGGGTGGCCATCGCTGCTTCCAGTGGCAGTTCCACAGTTTTAACTATACACTGCGTGAAGAAGGACTTTCTTTTCTCTTTCATGAATCTTCCAACATTCAGCTTTGTCCATGAGCTCAAGCGTACCAAGAGGGAGAGAGAAACTTTTCTCTATCCCTTTTCTCCATGCCATGTATGATTGCAAAAACTTCCACCATGTTGCCTCCTATTCGCCAAATGCTAGGGAAAATAAAACAGAAAATGTGCAATAAAATGAATAGGCAGGGAGGGGTGCCAAAAGACTCAAACCAGGATGAGCGCCTAATGTGAAGTTTCTGTTCCCTCCAAGTTGCCTCACACACACACCCCCCCCAAATGTTTATGAGTTTTTATCTCTGGAGGACTTCCTTCCCGACAGGAGAGAGTCTTGGAAATTTCCCTCTCCTTAGCAGTAAGTAACACAAAGAGCCTCATTTCCCGGCAATCTTCAGCCCTGATCAGAAAGTGATGAATGCACATTCTGTTCGCAGGAAACCATGTTCTGTGTTGTCCTGTATACATTTCTGCAGGACCTCTTCGGTCTAGAACAGGGAGCGCAGGCTGGATCAGGCCCAATGGCCTTCAGGATCTGGCCTGCGGAATGTCCGTGGATTGGTGTGGGGATTCTGTTCGTTCAGGCTGCGCCATTATTTTTCTGCGCCATTCCATTCCCTGCCCACACCCACCCACACTGCGGCAGCACCTCTTCCCTCCCTCCTCCTGACTTCTCTCCTCCCTGCCTAGAGAAGGAAGGGAGCTGGGCTGAGCTGGCTGAGCACCATGTTAAGCAGCCCCCCTCCGGAGCCAGCCCCGAGGGGGGTGGGGCATGGAGGGTGCCCTCCCAGGCACAGGATAGCCACTCGGTTGCACGGAACACTGTGCATGCCCTGCAGTCATGGGCGGAGTGAGCCACCCATGGGGGCAGAGCTAGCCACCGATGGCGGACATACGCCGTGCCAGCCGCCCGTGACTCCCAAACCTCCTTCCCCCTCCTTCCCCACCGAATGTGATTCGGTGTTGGCCCTTTGTTCTGTCTTTTATGGTTTTTTAATTATTATTTATTAATAAACTAAACAAACCAAAGATAAAGAGCACAAATAAATACAGTGACAGCAGGTTGAAAGCAACACACGTTTGGAGATTATCACTGAACTTGTAGCTCCAAAAACAAAGGGGGAAGGGGCGAATGCCGCCGGCAAAGCGGCGCAGGTCCCCCCCTTACCCCAACGGCTCAGAGTAGGCTTGGGAGTCGGGGCAGGCAGCGCGCCAAATGTCACCCCCCCCCAGCGAAGACACCCGGGGTGGTCTGCCCCCACCACACACCCCTTCTTCTGCCCCTGTGCACACCCCTGTTTCCTTCACGTCAGCTAGAAGCCTGAAGCCTTTGCCCACCTTCTGAGAGCCTGAGGAGGGAAACTGGCAGCTAAGAGACCCTTCATTTGTGTGTTGCATCAAATGCTCTTCTCCGAAACATCTTTGAGGCAGAGAATGCTGGACCATTCACTCAGCGGAGCAGGTTGGCCCCGAAGAGCACTCCCACACTGCCCTCTGCTGGGAGCAAAGGATTCTTATTTTATTTCACTTTTCTACCTGTGGATTTTGATTCAGCCAAAGCTTCGAGAGAAGTGGGAACAGGAGGCCTGGGACGTGGGAACGAGACCTCAGCATAAACTTCTTGGTGGCCTCGATGACAAGCCACTAACTCGCCATGGATGGTTTTCATCACTGTGCGGCAGTGACAATTTATGAGGCAGCACTTTGCCAATGGAAAATTATTAGCAGCAGTCTGCCTTTGCCCTGGGGCTTGGGGCTGGGTGCAACTTTGTAAAAGGGCAGGGGACACAAAATGCCATGATGGAGTCTACTCCAAGCAGCCCTGCCCACGCCCTGTGCTCAGAAAGCCATAGAGGCAGCCTCCATTTTGATATTCTTTCGCCCACGAAATACAGTTGTTAAGCCAAGGGTTTTCAGAGAATTAATGTGATGCGGTGTCAGCCATTTGTTCTGTCTTTTATGGTTTTTTAAATTATTATTTATTAATAAACTAAACAAATCAAAGATAAAGGACACAAATAAATACAGTGACAGCAGGTTTGAAAGCAACATAAGTGTGGAGATTATCACTGAACTTGTTGCTCCGAAACATTACAGAAAATATCATTTTTTCCACAAACCCACTAGGCTGGTTTTATATGTATTCCTTTGTGGTGAGTTAGCTTAACCATAGTTCCTACTGACAAATCACTGATGGTGTGCTTTTTCTCTCTTCATTTTTAGCTATTATGATTGTAGCAGCAGTTATAAGGTTAAACACTATTACTTGATCGTTTTCTGGAACAGCTTATTTTAGATATCCAGGCATAAATATGTCTTCTATGACTTTATGGTGTTTAAAGAATTTTATTGTACACCATCATAATGGGTTATTTTTAAATGAGTTAATGATTTATAAATGCTCTTATAAATAAATTAAGTGTTCAAGGCTGGAGATGCCTCGGCGCATCTTTAGAGTAGACCAGCCTCCCACAAGGCTCCCTCTTTTCTTTCTTTCAGGCCATGGATCAGAGAGGTTCTGCAACCCCCAGCCTCCCAGGTAAGAAGGGCTACTTCACACAACCCCTGAACACACACACACACACACCGTATCTTGTAGGGTAGGACAGGGCACAGGTAAAAATCAGTGGAGCGAGGTAGGAGAGGCAGGTGGTTCAATGCAAGAATGGGAGGAAGGGGCTGTTTCTCATGACAGTGGGGATGGGAGCTGGTCGAAGGGCCACCTCTCAGCTACATTTAAGGCTGAATTTGCAGGTATTCCGGCTAAACATTTGGCAGAACTTTCTGATGGTAGGAACTGTTTCAGAGTGGAATAGACTGTCGGGATTCACAGAATGCTGTGTGAGATAGTAAGTCTGCAGGCTTGAGGTTGCTAACTGATGCAATTGGCTGATGCAATCAGCCTGCAATGCTTTCTGTGGAAGTGCTGGATCAGAAAGACTCAGCAATGATGTGCTGTCAGTTGATTGGCTGTCATCGGTTTAAAAGGGAAAACCTGGCCAGCAGTAATTGGGTGGTGTAGAAGAGTGTGGTTAGAGAGAGAGAGATAGAAAGGTCTTCCTGTTTGCCTTAAGGGGCAGCCAGGTACTCTGTCTGACTGTATGAACTGCTCGTGTATTATAGCCTGTAGATTATTGTATATATATATATGTTGTTGTTGTTGTTGTTGTTTAGTCGTTTACTCATGTCCGACTCTTCGTGACCCCCTGACCAGAGCACGCCAGGCCCTCCTGTCTTCCACTGCCTCCTGCAGTTTGGTCAAACTCATGCTGGTAGCTTCAAGAACACTGTCCAACCATCTCTTCCTCTGTCATCCCCTTCTCCTTGTGCTCTCCATCTTTCCCAACATCAGGGTCTTTTCCAGGGAGTCTTCTCTTCTCATGAGGTGGCCAAAGTATTGGAGCCTCAGCTTCACGATCTGCCCTTCCAGTGAGCACTCAGGGCTGATTTCCTTCAGAATGGATCGGTTTGATCTTCTTGCAGTCCATGCGACTCTCAAGAGTCTCCTCCAGCACCACAATTCAAAAGCATCAGTTCTCCGGTGATCAGCCTTCTTTATGGTCCAGCTCTCACTTCCATACATCACTACTGGGAAAACCATAGCTTTAACTATAGGGACCTTAGTTGGCAAGGTGATGTCTCTGCTTTTTAAGATTTGTATATGTAGCTCACAATAAATATACTGCACTGAAGAACCTGGAACTCTGAGCATTTCTGCTAAAGCGCCACGAAGAATTCGCGACATAGACTCCCTCAGAAGGTAGTGGCCTCTCCTTCCCTGGAGGTTTCTAAGCAGAGGTTGGGTGGCCATTTGTCAGGGTTTCTTTAGCTGTAATCCCTGTGTTACAGGGGGTCAGACTAGATGGCCGATGGCCCATGAAACCCCTTCCAACATTACATTGCTATGAATTGTACTGTGTTTTATCTTGTATTTTATTCTGTGAACCACCCTGAGATCTTTTGATAAAGGGCAGTATATTAATTTAATTAGTAAAATAGCTAGAATACACTCCTTCAATCTGTTTGGTGCAGAATTTGGTAGATGGGAAGGGTTTTCTGAAGCAGGTGGGGAAGATAGAGCTGCCTGGCCCATCCAAGCCACCAAGTGGGCCATCTACCGTATTTTTCGCTCCATAAAACTCACCTGACCACAAGACGCACCTAGTTTTTAGAGGAGGAAAACAAGAAAAAAATATTCTGAACAAAACAGTGGATGTGTGATTTTTGTGGTTCATGCTGTGGCCACAGACATGCGATCTGATGTGAGTTTGGGGCAGCCCAATGCAAAAGTCCTGACAATCCATGTGGATCTGTGCTTTGTAACCACATTTTTGCACTATTGCAGCTACTCCTTTTCTTCTAATTTCTCTCCTCATTGCTTTAGTCTTCCTGTCTCCTCTCCTTGCAAGTTTGCTGTCTTTACCTCCCCCCTTCCAGCCAGCCTCCTTTATTGCTAGCGTCCCTTATCTCGTTCCTGATTGGCAAACGATCAGTGGCTTTGTTTCAACACCCACTTTCCTCTTTCAAAAAAAAAAAAAAAAAAAGCATGATCTGGTTTTTTTCGCCCCTGGGCAATTCGGCTCCAGGGACCATGCATTCGCTCCATAAGACGCACAGACATTTCCCCTTACTTTTTAGGAAGAAAAAAATGTGTCTTATGGAGCGAAAAATACAGTATATAGTTGATCTGATGCCAGAACCTGCAGGGAAAGAAGGAAGGCTGGTCAACGATTGCTAGACCATGGACAGCTCCAAGCAAACAACTTGGTCCAGCTAAGATTGGAAGGAGCTGGCCAAGGTCTTTGCTGCCTGTTTCCAGACTCCCACCTCCAGGCTCCACCCCATCAAAGGACCAACACTCTGGCCTGAAGATGGACACTCCTTCTTTCCATAGGTTTCATGCATCCATGTAGTCCATGCACTGATAACCTTGAAGCTGGACTACTGTAACTGGACCATGTGGGGCTGCCCTCAGGTCTGGTTCGGGAGCTCCAGCTGGCACAGGATGCGGGCATCCAGATTGCTGACGGGGTCTTCTGTTTGAGAATGTGTGGCACCATTGTTAAAACAGTTGCACTGACCTCCCACCCACTGCTGAGACATGTTCAAGGTCCTTGTATTAAATTACAAAACCACGAACAAGTATGCAATAAAACCATTAAAAGAGTTAAACTCAGGAATCCATTAACCCTTGTGGGAAGATGCATTCTTAATTGTTTGCAGGGGCCTGGTGGAATAGAAAAGTTTTTGCGGGAATGTTCAGGGAGGCAGGAGTTATAGCAAGTTCTATAACTTAGCAGAGTTTTAAACATTTCCCTTTAAATACACAGCGGTTTGCTTGTTGCAAGCTCATTTTAGCTTCTAAATATTGCATTCCTGGTAATTCTCTTTTGTCCCTCTTAAAAAGAATAAACACGACAATCTTTTTTAGAATCAGCAAGAGACGTTTACTCACAGTATCATCAGTTCACAAGTGGATCCCTGAAGGCAGACTTAGGTTACAAAATATACACACATGGAACTATCCCACAACTATTTCTAGCTGAAGAGCTGTTGCTTCTTCGACAAAAGCAAGATGGAGAAGAGGGAGTGTGCTGCCTACGTTGCCCCTTTTGGTACCTGGGCAGGTAAGGTCACGCCCACCTCTAGTCATATGCAGAGGAAGTCTTGTCCCAGCTCAGGAGGAAACAGGAAGTTTTCTCCTGGCTGGTACAAAACATCCCCTTGCATTTCCACTCTAGGAATGTTGTACTTGACTGCTATGTGTTCCACATCCCACAGTTTTCAGTGGGTGTTTAAAGTTTGCCACAGAAGGCTAAATCTCTATTGGCTGGTAGTGGATGGGAAGCAGCTGGAGTTTCCAAGCTATATATATATATATATATATATATATATATATATATATATATATAAATAAAATTTTTATTAGTTTTTTAACATATCATTTTCAACAGTAGTTAAACATACTTTTACATCTTATTCAATTTTTTTGACTTCCATCAAACCTGTCTGAAAATTTTCCAATCTAATCTCTTAGTATGCATTTCTTATTTTCCCTATTACATTTCAAACTCATAACCAATATCTCTTTTTCTACTTTGTAACACTTCATATATTTCTCCTTACAAAACTTATTGTAGTCCTACTAGCGTAATTTGTTGATTAAAATTGCTCTTCAGATAGTTCACGTACTTCTTCCAATCTTCTGTAAATCTCTCGTCCCACAGGTTTTGAACCCTTCCTGTCATTTTGTCCAATTCTGCAAGTCCATTAATTTCGTCTGCCATTCTTCTTTGTCAGAATTTCTTCTGGTTTCCATTTCTGGGCTAACAATACTCTTGCCGCAGTTGTTGCATATAAAAACAATTTAACATTTTGCCTATTAATGTCCGGACCTATAATACCAAGTAAAAATGCTTCTGGTTTTTAAACAAATGTACATTTCAGCATCTTGTTTGTTTTGGCCCAGTTCTCTAATCTGTCCAGGTCGTTTTGAAGTGTGATCCTGTCCTCTGGGGTGTTAGCCACCCCTCCCAGTTTGGTGTCATCTGCAAATTTGATCAGGATGCCCTTGAGTCCATCATCCAAGTCATTGATAAAGATGTTGAATAAGACCGGGCCCAAGACAGAACCCTGTTCTTCAAGCTGTATATTATATCCAAAGTCTTTTGCCCAGTGTCTCATTACCGATTTCACTTCCTCATCTTTCAAATGCCATTCCAACAGTATTTTATACATTTTAGACATTGTTTTACATTCATTGTTTAATATTTCTATTTCATCTGGAGCTTCCAAGCTTGATACACAGGCAGTTAAAGGGAGGGGGGCTTCTCCAGGCAGTTTTGGCTAGTGGGGATTTCAAGCAACATGCCCAGCTGTGCTCACTCATACACCACAAGGATCAGAAATGGGGGAATGAGCACGGGTGCAAACAGGGGCTACCAGCTGCAGAAGATCTGTGCCTCACCATGCCCACTGCTCTGAGACTATCTGGGGCCAAAAGACCCCCACTCATTTGCCATGTCCTCTCCCCTTCTCTTTCCCCTGCGTAGCTGAGCCTCGATGTTCCATGACCGAGAACACCCTGCATGGAGAAGAGGAACTGGATGAGGAGACGGTGTAAGTACAGCACATGGTTAGACTGTGGAACTCCCTGCCACAGGAGTCAGTGTTGACCTCCAACCTAGATGGCTTTAAAAGGGGGCTAGACAGATTCATGGAGGAAAGGGCTTTTCTGAGGCTCTTACTTTTAGAACACATCTGAAGGCAGCCCTGTTTAGGGAAGCTTTTAATGTTTAATAGACTATTGTATTTTAATATTCTGTTGGAAGCCACCCAGAGTGGCTGGGGAAACCCAGCCAGATGGGCGGGGTATAATAATAAATTATTATTATTATTATGACAGAGTTGTTTCACCTGGCCTTTTGGCTTGGAATCAACTTGATCCCCTCCCCCTCTTTCCTTTTCCCTTTCTCCTCCTGTGATAGAACTCCTATTTGGGGACTTCCCAGGCTTTTTTCTGGCCCACGTAGGACTAGTCTGGATAGTTAGCCTTGGTGAAGACTTGACATTTTTATCCCCCAAAAAGTTTTTGATTGAGTTTCCACTGAAATGAGGCTGCATTTTAATGTTTTAATGTTGTATCTTAATCTTGTTTTTTAAGTAGTATTTCAATCAATTGTTTTTATATTTGGTGTTAGCCATCCTGAGCCGGGTCTTGGCTGGGGAGGGCGGGGTATAAATAAAATTTATTATTTATATTTTCAATTTTTATTTTTATTAACACTGCTGGGTTGCTTGTCCTCTCAGGAACTTCATTTCAACCTTGTATGAATCTCTGGGGCCTCTTTTGACTGAGGTGACCAAGCTCCAAAACAACCAGGACCCTCCTGCCCACCTGATGGTCGACATGAGAGCCAAGCTGAGGGAGATGGGCTCAACGGTCTCTGATGCCAGGAAGAAGATGATGAGGTACAACATGTACCTGGTGAGTCCCGCCATCAGCCTGCCCCACCTCCCTAGGGAGACGGCCCCAGAGCGTCAAGCAAGTACACCCTCCCTTTGGGGCAGGCTCTTTCCACAAAACCAACTGTGGTGCCTTTGCCTTCCTCCCCGCAGAAGAGGAGGCTCGCCAAAGCAGTCCATGAGAAGAAGGCCTTGAGGGAGCAGCAACTGAGGCAGCAAGAATGTAATGAGCAGGTAAGGCGTTTCCAACTCTCCCCAGTCCAGCGGAGCGGAGCTGAGGTGTTGCCAAAGTAAAGGAAGGACTGAACTCTGATTAAGAAGAATACACACAGAGGCTGGAACCAGCAAGACTCTGGGAAGGGTGCGTATAATAATCTCTCTCTCTCGCCACCCCTCGGCCCAGGTCATTTTATTCACAAAGAACTTTTTACAGAGTGTTCGTAAGAACCAATTAGATTTCTTCTGAGCATTTCAACAAACCCCACGTGGGGACAAAGTTAAACTACCAAAACTAATTAAGCATGGGGTAAATAAAACAGAATGGAAGTGAGAGCTGGACCATAAAGAAGACTGATCGCCAAAGAATTGATGCTTTTGAATTATGGTGCTGGAGGAGACTCTGGAGAGTCCCATGGACTGCAAGAAGATCAAACGTATCCATTCTTAAGGAAATCAGCCCTGAGTGCTCACTGGAAGGACAGATCCAGAAGCTGAGGCTCCAATACTTTGGCCACCTCATGTGAAGAGAAGACTCCCTGGAAAAGACCCTGATGTTGGGAAAGATGGAGGGCACAAGGAGAAGGGGACAACAGAGGACGAGATGGTTGGACAGTGTTCTCAAAGCTACAAACATGAGTCTGACCAAACTGCGGGAAGCAGTGGAAGACAGGAGTGCCTGGCGTGCTCTGGTCCATGGGGTCACAAAGAGTCGGACACGACTAAACGACTAAACAACAACAAAATAAAACAGAACTACAAAGGAGTGCATTTGGCAACCCCTGAGGTCATAAACAAGCAATATACATGATAAGGAGGATGGCCAGGAGGACAGCGATCATTATCACCTTTATGTGAGACCTGTTTCCTGGCCCTAAGATTAACATATCAGAAAAGCTACATCAAAGAAGCTTGCCCACTATCTTTATGGCCCAGGATGCCTGCCTGGCAAAGCAACTGGGCTGTGTACGTGACTTGTCAAGCAAGAGAAATGGACAGTAGAGGAAATGGCCAGAGATGCAGAGGGTTGTGGGATTTGATCAGAAATTATTGTCAATACATTAAACCCAGTCAACACAATGCATTCATCGTGGACACAATGGATTGATGTATATTTTATAATTCCTCATAGTAATCCCACCTGACCCCACACTCTGGATATTTGCACTCCTACATGGAGCCACTTGGAATCACAGAAGAGTCAGAAGGGACTCCACGGGTCACCTAGCCCTCTTTGTACTGCGATGGGCATGGCTCCGAGCTGGAGAAAGAGAGAGGGAGAAGGGGCAAGGTTCATGCAGTGCGTGCATTCAAATTTTTGAAAGGTCATCCTATGAAAGATGGAGCAATCTTGTTTTTTGCTGCTTCAGAGGGTGGAAACAGAACCCATGGATTTGAGTGACACGAAAGGGGATGCCAACATCAAGGAAAACTTTCTGACAGTAGGAGCTATTCCTACTGGTGGCCTCTCCTTCATTGGAGGCTATTAAGCAGAGGTTGGATGGCCATCTGTTGGGGATTTTTTAGTTGTGATTCCTGGCTAGGTCCTGCCCCTTGCTAGGCATGTGGATTTTTTCATCAAAAGAAAATCCTTCATCAGGCAGCGCACAGGTAAACTATGGAACTTGCTAACACAGGAAGCACGTTCTGCATGAAACCACATGAAGTCTGAAGGACAGTCCATGGCAGCAGGTCCAAGGCAGCAACACTGAGCATAAATCTAAATAAATGCATCCTTCAAGTGCTGACCTTCTGGAAGGGAGTAATGTGTTGTGTGGTCACACTTGGATGCTGAGTGCCTCCCTCTTACCTACAAAGCTCACTCCTCTAATTAGAATGTGCATAATGCTGTTAGGGGGTAAATTGCCCATGAATAGCAATTATCCTTCGCAGGCAGGGAACAGCAACCTGTCTCGGCTAGACCTGCCAGGCATATGGAGCTGTTCAAAGTGGTTGTTCCCCTCCCTTTGATGCAAGGAAACAGCACCGCATAGACCAGGACACACACTGGCAAATTTGCAACGCTCTGCTTGAATCACCACCAATGCAATCAAAACACTGAGCAGAAATTCTCTTGATAGAGGGCTTGCCAAGTTGCAAAGGAAGGGTATTGCAGAGTTTAGTGCATTATTCAGGCGCCTCACCCCCCTGGAGCTGGTCCATGCATGAAAATCTGGGGTTTTAAATCAGAGGTAGAGGCACTATCCCAGACCTTTTGACTCTGATTTTTAATAGCCTTAAGCCAGAAGCACCTGCTGCTGGGTGGAATTTCATTAGGAGTTTTTGTTGGTTTGTTTTCCTACTGATTTCATAAAAATAAAGTATTGCATTGCAAGCTGTTCTGGGAATATCTGCTTTGAAAGGTGGCATGTCAAGCGCTTTCAATCAATCAACCTCTTCTGACACCCTTCCTTCCGTGTAGGAGATGCCACCACCAGAGCTGCTGAGGAACAAAGCCCAGGAGAGGGCTCACCGGCGGGGTGTCAGCCTGCAAGACCCCCAGTTCGTTCCAGTGGTGGAGGAGGCCTCAGGGCGACTGCGGGTTAGAGACTGGGTTTGGGGGCAAGGGAGTGGGAGCTGAAAGTGACAGGGGGGCAGGTTATAATGATGGGAGGCTTGGCAGCCCAGTGTGTGGTGCTGGTGCAAACACCCTAGGTTTGCGGTATAAACAGCCCACAAAAACTTACTTAACTACCTGGCGCAAACAGCGTTTTCTTAGCTTTTCCCAGCCTGAAAAGACAGCTAGCTAAGAAAAACATTCAGCGGCATGAATGAGGCAAGTTCTATAGGGCATGATTGACGGAAGAACTGGCTCTGTGGCAAGTGCCACAAAATACCCATTCCGCATCTGTAAGAACTCAAACGATTACCGATTAACGTGCACCTGCACTTCGCAGCTCCTTGCCTATGGATATCAGGCAGGTGCCTTCCCTGTGCCTTTTGGCCCCTGCTAAAAAACCCCTCTTGTTTAAACAAGCCCACCCAAACTCTTAGAAAGTTGGTGCAAGTTTTCATCTGTTGTTTTAGTCTGTTGTGATTTTAAGTTTTGCAAAAGTTTTAAATTGTTGTTGTTAAATTTTATTTTTATCTTTTTTGTAAATTACTTTGAGGTGGTTTGTTTTTTGTTTTTGTTTACAATCAAGCAGTAAGTAAGCAAGTAAATGTAAAGGTAAAGGGACCCCTGACAATTAGGTCCAGTCGTGGCCGACTCTGGGGTTGCAGCGCTCATCTCGCTTTATTGGCCGAGGGAGCCGGCGTACAGCTTCTGGGTTATGTGGCCAGCATGACTAAGCCACTTATGGTGAACCAGAGCAGCGCATGGAAACGCCGTTTACCGTCCCGCCGGAGCAGTACCTATTTATCTACTTGAACCTGACGTGCTTTCGAACTGCTAGGTTGGCAGGAGCAGGGACCAAGCAACGGTAGCTCACCCCATTGCGGGGATTCAAACCGCCGACCTTCTGATCGGCAAGCCCTAGGCTCTGTGGTTTAACCCACAGCACCACCCATGTCCCTAAGTAAGTAAGGTCAACCAGCTCACCCCCCCCCCTTTTCTCCTTTCAGCCTCTCCAAGACATCGCCGATGGAAGCAGCCGGGTGTGCATGACCCCGCAGGGAGTGCTGCAGAAAAGCGCCTGCAGGCTGGATGGCATGCGTAAGTGCAGGGGTCAGGGTGCCCTGGGATGTGCACACAGACCTCTCTCCCCCCACCCCACCCCACATGTTTCTTGGCATTTGATGGGAGTAAACCATTTGCAATGAACAAGTCATGATCCAGCTCCTTACAGGGCCACTCCCACTTCGCATTGTTTTATGACACAGAACAATTTATTTCAGGGTCAGCAAAGTTTACCTCGCTAGAGCTGGTTCACTCCAGCAGAGATCCCTCTGCTGCGATTTCCAGCATCTGTGTCTGCTTAGATACAATTTGCGGCGTCTGAGCATGTACAGATGCAATTTCCAGCACCGCGGAAGCAAGTCCGCGCACCGCGCCGTGCCGGTTTAGCGTAGTGTGCAGGGACTCACCAAGCGGGCGGCTCAGTTCAGGGGTGGCTCGGGGGCCAGTTAAACGACCCCCGTGGGCTGCTTGTGGCCCATGGGCCTTAGGTTGCCTACCCCTGATTTATTTCGTTATGCCCATTATGGTGCTCAACTAGTCAGCCAAAGCCATTGCCTAGACCAGTGTTTCCAAAACTTGGGTCTCCAGCTGTTTTTAGACTACAACTCCCATCATCCCTGATTACCATAGCTGTCAACTTTTCCTTTTTCTTGCGAGGAATCCTATTTGGAATAAGGGAATTTCCCTTAAAAAAAGGGAAACGTTGACAGCTATGCTGATTACTGGTCTTTCTAGCAAGGGGTGATGGGAGTTGTAGTCCAAAAACAGCTGGAGAGCCAAGTTTGGAACACAGTGGCCTCGAGAAAAGGGCTGTCTTGGCCGGCTTGCTTTCTTGCGTTCTACCCCTACAGATGCAGGAAGGGACTTGGGGCATCATCAGGACAGACTGACCCCCTCCCCAAACTCACAACAGCAGCACCTTTGGAATACAGTGGTACCTTGGTTCTCAAATTTAATCCGTTCCAGAAGTCCATTCCAAAACCAAAGCATTCCAAAACCAAGGTGTGCTTTCCCATAGAAAGTAATAAAAAAAATTAATCCATTCCAGACTTTTAAAAACAACCCCTAAAACAGCAATTTAACATGAATTTTACTATCTAATGAGATCATTGACCCATAAAATGAAGGCAATTATCAATGTACTATACTATAAAATAAATAAGACAGTATTGTAGATGATGAAAATTAAAATTAAATTCTTTTCTTACCTGCACTGATAGTCATTGTTTGGATTGGGGGCCTTTATCCGTTTTTGCAGTCACACAGTCAGTCAATCAGTAGCTGAACTGGGTTCCACACTGTCACAGAAACAAATTAACTGAAAAAGCCTCAAAAACTCAAAATAAATAGCAAAAAACAAAAGCACCAAACTTAATCTCTTCCGGAAGTCTGTTTGACTTCCGAAATGTTTGGAAACCCAGGGCACAGCTTCTGATTGCTTCAGGCACCCTGGAAACAATAGCTGACAGCCGCATCAGACGCTCAGCTTCTGAAAGCCGTTCAAAAACAGGAGCACTTAGTTCCAGGTTTTCGGCGTTTGAGAACCAAGGCGTTTGAGAACCAAGGTACCACGGTACTTCATTGTGGAGTCTAACTGGGTTGCCCTTCTCTTTCAGCTTCTCGTCCATCCCTTGATAGAGGCCAGATGTGATCGCGGAAGTTGGCAGACAGATCTCTCAATGCTTTTCCTTTGGGACCCCATGGACCAAAGCAAGGCTCAACATGGCTGAGCTGGGCCCCTTGTCACCCAGTAGCACCAATTAAACCTCATTTCTTCCATGAGTTCCAGGATAGTTGCCTCTTCTTTCCAGTACAACCACTCTCATTTGCAAATGGTTGGTTTCTTGTAAGATGCTAACTTGCAATGGTTAGGGCAGGCACAGGCAAACGCGCCCCTCCAGATGTTTTGGGACTACAACTCCCATCATCCCTAGCTAACAGGACCAGTGGTCAGGGGTGATGGGAGTTGTAGTCCCCAAACAGCTGGAGGGCCGAGCTTGCCTGTGCCTGGGTTAGGGCCATAGATGTAAAGCACATTCAAAGCACACACACACACCAAGAATACTGGAAACTGTAGTTTGTTAATGGTGCTGGGAATTATAGCTTTGTGAGGGGTAAATGACATTGGACTGGATGACCCCGGGATCTCTTCCAACTATATAATTCTATGTAAATTCATATGAATGCCTTCACTTCTTTCTCACCTTGTGCCATGGAAAAACTGGAAACTTGGTGTGATTTTCAACTCTTGATTAGTTAAAAGATAAGCAGGTTTAGTTAGATCATCAGCATTAGACGTGAGTAATCTTCCATCTATTTTGGCATTCTAATTATCCTGTCATGATGCTGTGATTTATGATGCCACTTTCTTTAAGATGATATTTAAGTGCTTCATTTATGCCAGTTAATACTTCATTGTTTTAATGTTTATCCTGCTCTTTAAAGGAAACGAAAAATTCAGAGCATCTAAAAGTAAAACAGAGGGGAGAAATAAGTAAAGCAAACAAGAAGGATGAGCCATCATTTCACTTCTGGATTTTTGTGGGGCAAAGGATACTGGGAATCAGCAGCCCTGACCTCTGATGGGACCCCAGCTAGGAACAGAAAAAAAAAATTGTTTGGTTCTCATTTAAAGGCAAACCTCCCTCTCTTTCCAAAATAATACGAAAACCGGAACACAGAACCACCATTTAAAATTTGCATGGTTTTTCCATCTAAGCAAGGTGTTCAGAAATGCATGTACGGGGGGCAGGGGGCGTGCCAATGAATCCATACAAGTGAAAACAGCATAGAAAAATGTGTTATTGGGAGAAATTGCTTTGTAAAAATGTATGTATTAGGCAACATCACATAGAAACATGTATAATGAGAAATTCACACTAAAATGCCGATGAATTTTCATGAGAAAAATAAAATTTTCACGAGCCTTTAACATAATAAAAAAGCCACAAACTGATGATTTAGTTGTAATTCCTGCAGGGCAGAGAGTGGGGCTCGAGGAGTCCCTTCCAGCTCTGCAATTCTAGGATGCTGAAATGCGGAGAAAGGTGAGACAGATTTGCCCGTCTTTAATCCGCAGCTGGAGGAATCCCAGTTGCAGGAAAGCGCAAGCGAGGAGAGTTCTGCTCTTGTGTTCGAATCCTGATTCCTGGTTCCCCAGAAGAGGCGTCTGGTTGGCCCCTGTGAGAACAGGAGGCTGGACTAGATGAGTCATTGGCCGGATCCAGCAGGCTCTGCTTATGTTCAAAACTCACCTCCCATTTGAAAAGCACTAAGACAGAAAATGGAGGGATTCAATGGCTGTTTCTGTACAGTGGTACCTCTGGTTGTGAATGGGATCTGTCCCGGAGCCCCGTTCGCAACATGAGCAGAATGCAATCCACATCTGCGCATGTGTGGGTCGCAATTCGCCGCTTCTGCCCATGCGCGTGACGTCATTTTGAGTGTCTGCACATGCGCGAGCAGCGAAACCCAGAAGTATCCCTTTCCGGTACTTCCGGGTTGCCGCGGGATGCAACCTGAAAAGATTTAACCTGAAGCAAACATAACAAGAGGTGTGACTGTACATGCAATTTATTGGTGGATGGGAGAGAAATCGACTGGACTCAGACTCCGGGTACAATATGTGTGTATTTGAGGAAGAGGTGGGGTGGGGAAGAGAGAAAAAAATTCACACCCAACTTTCACACTTAGAAAGATATTTGGCATCGCAGACACTCTTGCTGAATTTCCCCAAACAGATTAGACTTTTCCTAACTCATGAAACTCTGTGAGGCCCCCATGAGGCAGATGGAATCTGCCTTGGAAGGTCCTCCACAGCCAACCAACTTGGCCACCTCCTTAGGAACACCATTCAACATTCAGCCTCATTGGAAGATTCCTGGAGTCACAGAACTGTAGAGTTGGAAGGGACCCGGGGGGTCATCTAGTCCAACCCCCTGCAATGCAGGAATCTCAGCTCAAGCATCCATGACAGGTGGCCATCCAACCTGGTTCAAGACAATCCTCCTTCACATAGCGCCTAGTTAAAACTATGGCACTCCCTCCCACAGGAGACAAGGGTGGTTTAAAAAAGAGATTAGACGAATGCATGGAGGAGAAGGGCTGTCAATGGCTACTCTGTCCCTTCCCAGTTGGAGGGCAGCAATGCTTCTCGATACCAGTTGCTGGAAACCACAGGAGGGGAGAGAGCTCTTCTGCTCGGATCCTGCTTTCGAGTTTCTGAGGGGAATCTGGTTGGCCACTGTGAGAACAAGATGTTGGGCTGAGTGAGCCATTGGCCTGATCCCACAGGCTCCTCTTATGACATTCAGGGACAAGACAGTCTGGAATGCCCAGTTTTCTGTTTTCTTTTAATTTTTTTAATACTTTTACTTTGCTTTAAACAAATACAGATAAATATAAACAACCAAAATTACAAAAGAAAAATCCTTAATAATGATGATGATGATGATGATGATGATGATGAAAAAGCTAAAAATCTACAAAAAATATCAAAGTACATGGCATAGAACATAAGCCATTATGAGAAAGAAAAAAGGAAAAGGAAAGGGGGGGAGGGGGAAAAAGAAAAGAAAAGAAAAGAAAAGAGGAAGATGAGCCAAAACACAAGAAGGCTCATCTATCGTATGCTTCCGTCAAGGTCAGAACAGATCATTATTCTTATCAATTCTCTCTATCTGCATTCCATAGAATACCTCATCTGGGTATCACGGAACATTTCCCTATGCGGTATCATTCTAAACATAACCAGGTCTTCCTTAATGAACCCTTATTCCTAGATAATTATTTAAACATTCCGATTTTTCTTTCACCATCTTTTTAGGTTTATCTCTTATTGCATCCGTCAGCTTTGCAAGCTCCAAGTACTCGCACAATTTGACTACCCATTCATGTTTAGTGGGTGTATTTTTATCTTTCCAGTCTTTTGCCACTATAACCCTTGCTGCTGACGTTACATACATAAATAACCTGGTTTTATTTTTGGGAATATTATCTGAAACCATTCCCAGTAAAAATTATTCTGGTTTCTTGCTAAATGTAGTTTTTATCAATCTCTTTATCTCTTCATAAATCATATTCCAAAACCTTTGTATCTCTAAACAGGACCACCACATATGGTAGTATGTTCCTATCTGTTCCTGGAATGCCCAGTTTTTGAGTGGTTTTGTATTAAGGTGGGGTTCCACCCCATGTCAGATCAGATATCTTTAAAAAAACAAAACCTGAACATATCTAGAAAGCCCATGCTTATATTTATAGTCCTCTAGGTAATAGAGTTCTGCCAAGAGAACAAGCTGGTCATCACAAACACTCTTTTCCAACAACACAAGAGACGACTCTACACATGGACATCACCAGATGGGCAGCATCGAAATCAGATTGATTATATTCTCTGCAGTCAAAGATGGAGAAGCTCTATACAGTCAGCAAAAACAAGACCTGGAGCTGACTGTGGCTCAGATCATCAGCTTCTTATAGCAAAATTCAAGCTTAAACTGAAGAAAGTAGGAAAAACCACTGGGCTGGTAAAATACAATCTAAGTCAAATCCCTTATGAATACACAGTGGAAGTGAGGAACAGATTTAAGGATTTAGATTTGGTGGACAGAGTGCCTGAAGAACTATGGATGGAGGCTCATAACATTATACAGGAGGCAGCAACTAAAACCATCCCAGTGAAAAGGAAATGCAAGAAAGCAAAGTGGCTGTCCAACGAGGCCTTACAAATAGCGGAGGAGAGAAGGCAAGCAAAATGCGAGGGAGATAGTGAAAGATACAGGAAATTGAATGCAGATTTCCAAAAAATAGCAAGGAGAGAAAAGAAGGCCTTCTTAAACGAGCAATGCAAAGAAATAGAGGAAAAGAATAGAATGGGAAAAAACAGAGATCTGTTCAAGAAAATTGGAGATATGAAAGGAACATTTCGTACAAAGATTTCCATAATAAAAGACAAAAGTGGAAAGGACCTAACAGAAGCAGAAGACATCAAGAAGAGGTGGCAAGAATACACAGAGGAATTATACCAGAAAGATATAGATGTCTCGTATACCCCAGGTAGTGTGGTTGCTGACCTTGAGCCAGACATCCTGGAGAGTGAAGTCAAATGGGCCTTAGAAAGCACTGCTAATAACAAGGCCAGTAGAAGTGATGATATTCCAGCTGAACTATTTAAAATTTTAAAAGAGGATGCTGTTAAGGTGCTACACTCTATAAGCCAGCAAATTTGGAAAACTCAGCAGTGGCCAGAGGATTGGAGAAGATCAGTCTACATCCCAATCCCAAAGAAGGGAAGTGCCAGAGAATGCTCCAACTACCGCACAATTGCACTCATTTCACACGCTAGCAAGGTTATGCTTAAAATTCTACAAGGCAGGCTTAAGCAGTATGTGGACCGAGAACTCCTAGAAGTGCAAGCTGGATTCAGAAGAGGCAGAGGAACCAGAGACCAAATTGCAAACATGTGCTGGATTATGGAGAAAGCTAGAGAGTTCCAGAAAGACATCTACTACTGCTTCATTGACTATGCAAAAGCCTTTGACTGTGTCGACCACAGCAAACTATGGCAAGTTCTCAAAGAAATGGGAGTGCCTGATCACCTCACCTGTCTCCTGAGAAATCTCTATGTGGGACAAGAAGCTACAGTTAGAACTGGATATGGAACAACTGATTGGTTCAAAATTGGGAAAGGAGTACGACAAGGCTGTATATTGTCCCCCTGCTTATTTAACTTATATGCAGAATTCATCATGCGAAAGGCTGGGCTAGATGAATCCCAAGCCAGAATTAAGATCGCCGGAAGAAATATCAACAACCTCAGATATGCAGATGACACAACCTTGATGGCAGAAAGTGAGGAGGAATTAAAGAACCTTTTAATGAGGGTGAAAGAGGAGAGCGCAAAATATGGTCTGAAGCTCAACATCAAAAAACGAAGATCATGGCCACTGGTCCCATCACCTCCTGGCAAATAGAAGGGGAAGAAATGGAGGCAGTGAGAGATTTTACTTTCTTGGGCTCCATGATCACTGCAGATGGTGACAGCAGTCACGAAATTAAAAGACGCCTGCTCCTTGGGAGAAAGGCGATGGCAAACCTAGATAGCATCTTAAAAAGCAGAGACATCACCTTGCCGACAAAGGTCCATATAGTTAAAGCCATGGTTTTCCCAGTAGTGATGTATGGAAGTGAGAGCTGGACCATCAAGAAGGCTGATCGCCAAAGAATGGATGCTTTTGAATTCTGGTGCTGGAGGAGACTCTTGAGAGTCCCATGGACTGCAAGAAGATCAAATGTATCCATTCTTAAGGAAATCAGCCCTGAGTGTGAAGGAATGGGTTTCCAAAACCCAAAAACTGACTGTGCAGGCAGTTTTAAACTGCACCAAAATTCCTATTTTTCCTTAGCTAAAATGTATAAACTCAAGCCGTTGAGTAAATCCATAACAAGAACAAAGCTCTCTCTCCCTTATCAGTCCCTGGCGGCAATGAGTGACCTTGCCAAGTTCCAGTACAGCAGGGATGATGTGTGTGTGCCTTATCTTATGTGCTGACCACAAAGACGCGCAGACCCACGTCTGGGAATAACGCCAGAGTGTGTTCTCGGAAATGGTGACCTCTGCCTCCCAGATAAGAGTAGGAAGAGGAAGATCCTTTTATGGTCAGAAGTACAGGAAGGAAGAGCCTTCTATGGTTGAGAGTACCAGAGCAGGAACATATGTGATGTCAATCTGTGGACGTAGGCCGATGTGGTTGGGCTCTTAGGGGAGGAGTGAGAGGGTGCCTGGAGGATATATAAACTGCATGAAACCTGTCATTTCTTTGTACTTGCTGTGGACTCACCGCGCAAGTGCCTTCTGCTATCTGGAGAGCAGAATAAACTCTTTCTCTGAACCAACCTCGGTGTCATTTTGACTTCCTTCCTCCTGTCCCAGAGCAATGCAGACCCAGTCGGTGAACTCCAATAACACTACAAGTGCTCACTGGAAGGACAGATCCTGAAGCTGAGGCTCCAAGACTTTGGCCACCTCATGAGAAGAGAAGACTCCCTGGAAAAGACCCTGATGTTGGGAAAGATGGAGGGCACAAGGAGAAGGGGACGACAGAGGACGAGATGGTTGGACAGTGTTCTCGAAGCTACCAGCATGAGTTTGACCAAACTGCGGGAGGCAGTGGAAGACAGGAGTGCCTGGCGTGCTCTGGTCCAGGGGGTAACAAAGAGGCGGACACCACTAAATGACTAAACAACAACAAGGTTTGAGAGAGAGTTTTGTAGTTGGCCAGTACTGAAAACTTGCCTGTCACCTGCTAACTGCCTGAGATGCTCTGACATCACAGAATGTTCACAAACATTCTGGGTTCTGTTGGCAGCAAGACTTGCAAAAGAGGCTTAGAGGAGGACCCAGGAGGCAGAGGAAGAAATGGGAGGAGAGACATGATAGAAAGCAGCAGCAGCAGCAGCCTGAGCGAGAAGAAGGGCTGTTGGGCAGAAGGCTCAATGCTCAGGGAAGAGGGAGGCAGAAGGGCAACAGAGGAAGGAGGCCTTTACCACTGGGAAATTTGATCAAGAACGGGACCTTGTAGGGGTTCGACTGGATGACACTTGCGGTCCCTTCCAACTATACAACTCTATGATTCTTTGCATATCTAGTTAATGTAACAGAAAGATCCCTCTGAAAATTCCAGCCAAGGAAGAGAATCTTAACAAAAGCAGAGGTTTTTTATTTTCTTACAAATAAAACAAAACACAGACTATTATTTACAAATCAATAAAATAATAAAAACCTAAAACCTATACACGATTCTCCTCCTCGCTGTCTGTTGAGCTCCAGAATGCCCTGCGCCTCAAAAGAATCTTCTCCTTTAGGTTGTGGAAGGGATCTTCGGAGGGTGCCCCGCTCCGCCTGCCCACGTGTCTTGTGAAAGCAGAGCCCCGGGGGTGGTGGCTCCTCCCAGGAACACCAACACGAGACACTTCTGGAGCTACGTGTCCACCTGCCCCTGTGGCGTGGCAGTCCTCATGCCGTGGTTCCAAAACGCCACTTTGGAAAAAGGCCCTGCTCTTCGGCTGCGCCCTTAAAGCAGCTCCCATTTGCCCACTGGGCGCACCCACAAAACATTGCTGCGCAAATCTCACTCGGATAACGGATCCTGCCGCCTCTCTCTGGTGCATCCTCCCCCCTTTCCCTGGGGGTGTCCCCGCTTGCAGGCCCAGAGGTCGCTCTCTCCGTGCCTCGCTGCTTGAGGCACTGCTCAATGGCCTCTCTGCCCCCCTGCTGCTGAGCCTCGTTTTCCTGCTGCTGGAAGCCCCATCCTTGCCCCCAGCTCCCCTCCTGGACAGCCTTCCCGGGCTGGGAGTTTTCTGCCTTCTCCCCTCTCTGACCCCACAAGACCTCGCACCCGAAGCCTTGCTCCTGCTCCTAGCCGAGGCCGATGCGCTCTCTGGCCCTGTGGACCTTTCTCTGCTGTGGCTCGTTCTGGGGGGCCTCCCCAGAAAATGTGGGTTGGAGGCTGAGCTTGCGGAAAGGCCAGGTCTGTTCTGGGATCTTGTGTTCTCTGCCGGAGACTGGTGTGCTTCTGAAACGCCGGGTCTGCGGGCCTCCTTGTCGCTCTGAACCACAGAACAGGCTCCCGTGTGCCTCTTTGAGACTCCCCCTTTCACAGCAGGCTCAGCACCCCCACGAGGCTCAGTCCTGAACCCATCAGTCTTGCCCACCTCCTCTTCTTCCTCCAGGCAGCTGGCAGTGGGGGCTCCTGGCTGGATGCCCCCACTCCAGGTTACTCTCCGCCTTTCCTGGCTTCGCAACCAGATGTGCAGCCCGTGCTTCAGGTTCAGTTTCCCCTCCAGGATGGCAGAGATGAGGAACAAGCGCTTTTCCGCATCCTTGGCAGAAGAGGCCGTTTCTCTCTGAGGTCTCCTGACAGCCTTAGCTGCTTTGGGGCAGGATCCTGCCCCAGGCCTCTCCCCCACGTTCTGATCATCCTCAGCGCAGGGCTCCTGTCTTGCAAGGCTCTCTCTGCTGTGGGTGGCTTTGCTGCCCCTGTGCCTGGCCCTCTCCCTCTTCCGTTCTGTGCTGAAGGGTGACCAGTCCTCCGCTGGCAGGGGGCACGGTGTTGGCGGGTGGTCAGGTGGTGTCTTCAGAAAAGTGCCTTCAGAGGCTGAGATGCTGCTGGTTCCAGGCATCCTCTCTACACCTGTCTCTTCTGCATCCGAGTGAAACCAGTCGGACGGAGGGGCTGGAAATTCTTCACCAGTACCCAGAAAACATCTGGACGAGAGATGCTGGTTGGAGTCTCCTGAGGCTTCAGAACCCTCGCATGAAGCCTTCCTGCTTCCTTCAGCAGCTTGGAGAAAAGCATTGTGCTGCTGCTGCTGCTGCTCCAGAGATCTCCCGCTTACGCTGAGGGGTGGAGAAGGAGGTTTCAGGCCTGTGCCGACTTCCCCTCTCTGCCCATCAGCCCAGCCCCTTGGCTCTGAGGGTGCAAATAAGGCTCTGTGGTCCTCCTGGGTCTGGAAGGGTGGCCCCACCCTACCTGCTGCAGACAGCCCAAGGCTGGCCTTTCCCCCATGGATCTGGCCCCTCAGTCTCTCCTGGCATTCTTTGCCCAGCCCTGGCACCATGGCCTCGTAGGTGGACTGTGGGGAGATGGCACGGGACGGGTGCACGAAGGACCCCAGAGTTCTCTGGGAGATGTGGGCCCCAAGCAGGCCACTGGCTGCTCCTTCAGAAGACTTGAGGAGGCCCTCCTGTTCTGGGAGGTTAACATCCACCCTGCTTTCCGCAAAGGACAAACTGGGTTCTTCCTGGGTTTTGTTTCTTTCTGGAGAGGGGGAGGAGCCGCTTCCTGCACCCTTGGCCATGGCGGGGGCCTCTTCCTGCTGCTGCCAACCTTGATGTGCATCCGTCCCATAGGGGAACGTCCTGCTTTTCTGATAAACGGTGGTGTGGCCCATGCAGGTAGAGTGGGTAGCAATTTCTGGGGATGGAGATGATGGCGTTGGTCCTACTGGATGCTGGCGGTTCTGCATCATTCTCCGGAGGCTGCGGTCCAGCCACTCTGAAATCTTCTCTTTATCCCAAAGCAATGTTTCGATGCAACTTTCCAGGGCTGATTCAACACTGCTGTCCAGAGAGCTGCGTTCCAAAGAGTTGATAAGTTGGTTGTTGCTTGGCTGTTGCTTGGTTGTTGCTACACCCTGCTTGTAGTCCTTAGGCCGAGCCGACGGAGGGGGAGGTGGCAGGATCCCATACTCCTCCTGTGGCTCCCGAAAGGTTCCTGGGTCCTTCAAAGACATGCCCAGAATGAATCTCACCCCAGGGGAGCCCTGCAATGCCCTTCCTTTGAAACATGGGCTCCTTGACAAACTTCCTCCATGTTTCCTCTCCTGGCCGCTGCCTCCCAGTGAGGTCACTGTGGAGGGATGGTGTTTTGGGGAAACAGAGGAAGAGGCTACGCAAGAAGTAATTCTCCCACCGTGTCCCACTTGAAGCTGAAGTTCAGTCCGGTGGCCCTGTGGCTTCTTCTGCAAGCCTGAGCGGGATCCCATTTTCCCTTCCTCCAGAGATCGGTCTCCAAAGACCCTGAGTGGTTTATAGTAGCTGTGAAGTCTGGGCTGGGAATGGCGAAGGAACAGCTTCAGCGAGTCCTGGATCTGCTCAGAAACACGCCAACGGCAGGCCACAGCCAGTCTTCCAGGGTGGGTGGCCATATGCAGCTTAGCATCCTGCCATGTGCTCTGGCCACAGACCTGGCCTCCTCCTGGAGCCTGCGGGGGACTTTCCGCCTTGACGCTTGTTCTCTCTCTGAGCTGCGGCCTCTCATGGGCTCCTCTTGTTCCTTCTCCTCCCTTTGGGGCCAGAGCTTGTGGCTGCTCCCCAGTGGCTCCTGGTGCCTTTTCTGCTAAAGGCCTTTCCCCATCTGCATGTCTTTCTTCTTCAGAAGATGGACACTCCCTGGGGACGTTCCCTTCCTCGGCAGCCTCCAAACTCATATCAGTGGTGCTGCTTTTTTCCTCCATGGCCTCTGGGCTTCCACCTGCAGCAGCTACTTCCTCTGCCCCCTCTTGGCTCCCAGGAGGAACTCTGTTGTCTCCCTCTTCTCCAGCATGTCCAGTCTCACCAACACGACCCATCATTTCCTCCTCCTCCTCCTCCTCCTGGGCGTGGCCCATGGCTGTGACCCCCTGACTCTCTCCAGCCACACTCATTTCATCTTCTGCTGCTGGAGGGCTTTTGCAAGGGGCATCTGCAGACTGTGGACTCTGTGTCTCAGATGTGCTCATTTCCCCTTCCTTTGCCCTTGGAGCCCACTCTGCCACAACTCCTTCTACAGCCAGTGGGATCTCATAAACCACACTCCCATTCCCTGCATGCTGTGGGCTTTCACCACCAACACCCTTGGTGGCCTCTGGCATCCCATTAGCAACATTATCTTGAGGCTCTGCTCCAAGAATGCCTTCCGTTTCTGTGGCTGGTGGTCTCTCACTAGTAACCGTGGTCATTTCTTCAGAAGTGGCTTGTGGGATCTCCTCAGTGATCTCTGCTTCCTCTGTGGGCTGTGGGCTCTCAGAAGCAACGTCCTCTGTGGCTTGTGGGCTACTACTGCTTCTTTCCTCTGTCACTTGTTTGGTTTGGGTAGCTGCTGTGTTTTCTCCACTACCCTTTGTGATCACATGAGGGGTGCTTATTGCTTCTGTAGCATTTGGGTTCTCGCCAACCCATTCTTCCAGCTGTGGACTCTGAGCACCAGTCTTTTCTTCCTTTGTGGCCTCCTCTGGGCTCTCTGCAGCTATGCCCTCATTCTCTTCGGCTCGTGATATCCCACCACTCACTTCCTCCCTGCCCTGCCATTGGTCATCCGTGATGTCTGCTTCACTAGGAGAATGCAGCTTCCCATCAGAGATGTTCGTTTCCTTGTTCCTCTCTGTAGTCATGCTTCTGTCACCAACAAGACCCCCCAAATGACAGCGCTGGACAGCCAACTCAAGCCGGGCGATATCTTCTGTGGGCATAATAGTCATGGTCATGCCACGAGGCCACAAGGTCCCTTGGCCAGCAAGGATCAGCTTGGGAAGGGGTTGTCCTAAAAGGAGGTGTGCAGGTAGCTCAGAGACCCCAGCAGCAGCAGCAGCAGCTGGGGAAACCCCAAACTGGAGCTCCATATGTTTCTTAGCTAGGTGAAACCACATTGCCCTCAAGCTCTTGGACTCCAGTGTGGGGAGTGGAGGAGCTGCATTTTGTGTGGGGCTGGCCACTCCTCTTCTTCTGCAGGCATCCTGCTCTGTGCCCACAGCCCACCGTACTGGAGCACTCCCAGAGCTGGGCCAGATCTCATCCAGACAAGACCTCAGACCTTTTCCTACTGGCGCATCAGCCGATGACAGCAACTGAAGGGACTGGGCCACCCTCTTGGGCAACCCCCATTGGTGTTGGAGATTCCTCTTACGCATGTGAAACTCTAAGCGGCTGCAGATTTCTTGAGGTAGGAAAATTGGCTCTTGTTGAACGATGTGAACCTGAACCACCTTGGTTCTTTGGGGGGTGGGCAGGAGGGGAAAGTCTCCTACAAAGGCCCTCAGTGATTTCTGGACAAGTCCTGGGAAGCCCCATGCATGGTGGAGCTTCTTCTTCATGACATGAACTTCTAAGGCTTCTCTTTCCCGGTCCCAAAGGAACAGTGTTTGTGCCTCCTTGAACTCAATGACGGGCCTTTTCCTAGATCCCAGGGGCTCAGTGAATGGCCCGGGCACCATCCTGCTCAGATACTCCATGTCATCCGTTCCCATATCTCCCCACAGGGATGCCAGATGCCTGCCCTGAACAGCCAGGTCCACTTGCTTGACGTCACCCATGGGGAAGTGGGGCCAAGAGGAGCAACGAGGCTGGTGCAGCATGAAGCCAGGAGGGATCACCTTGGGGAGGGGTTGCCTGGGGGAGAGGTGCGCCCATGCCCAAGGGAGGCTGGTAAAATCTTGGGAGTCCCTCAGCTTCACCTCCAGGTTCTTCTTCGCCAAGTGGAGCTGCAACTCGTCCATGACTTGACCTTGCCATAGTGTGTTCCAGCCCATTCCCGTCCTGACTTCTGACAGTTCAGGAACCATCCCACAGTCAGGACAGTGGGGGTGGTCTTTCCTGTACCCAGCCCTTCCCAGGCCAAAGGTACTGCTCCCAAACTCAGGGCAAAGTTGCCTGATAGACTCCAGAACCCTCCTAGGCAGCCTCCACCGTCGCTGGATCTCCAGCCTCTGAATGTGGAATTCTAAGCTCCTGAAGATGTTTCGCGGAAGGAGCAAGGATGGCTCCTGCCGAAGAACATGGATGTGGACTTCAGACCTTTGGGGGCTGGGCGGTGGGGGAGCCCTTTGCATGAAGCCCACCAGAGATTTCTGGATGAGGCCTGGGAGACCCCACTGATGCTGGATCCTCTTCGTTCGAATGTGCAGCTCTAAGCTCTCTCTGACCTGGGCTTCAAGGAATGGCGTCGGCTCCTCTAAGAACTCCACATCCATGTCTCTCGGGGGCCTGGAGGGCAGCTTGGGCTTCAGGGCACCCACAGTCACTACGTAGCTTCTGTCCAGCCCCCAAAGGGATGCCAAGTGATTGCGTAGGATGGCCAACTCCACCTGGTCCACCTCCGCTGGCCGTATAAATGGCAGGAACTTGCTGCGTGGTTGTGGGGTCCAGTGGCCTTGGGAGGCTGGCTTGAGGAGGGGTGGCCTCCAAGACACCGGCGCACCTTGGCAAGACTCTCTTACAACATCTGGGGAAAACTCCACACACTTCTTAGGAAAGGGGAGCTGCATCTTCTCCCAGACCTTTGGTCCAGATGTGCTGAGGAGCTGAGTCATTGGTGGAAGAGAGCCAGCCCTTGTCCTTCCAGCCCCCTGAACATCCAACTCTTCCTCGACCCAAGACTCTTTCCTCCGGCTTCTGCCTAGTGGTGGAAGACGAGGCCTCGGGGCTTCCTCTCCCAGGACTGCTGTCTCAGGCCATAGACCCAATGATCTCAGGGACTGAAGGACCCTCCTGGGCAAGCCCCATTGCTGGTGGAGCTTCCTTTTTTGGATATGCTTCTCCAGACAGTCACAAACACCAGCTGGAAGGAATGACAGCCCCTGTTGCCTTATCTGGAGGTCCACCATTGCCACGTGTGGGATCTGCGGTGAATGAGCCCCACCTGAAAAGCCTGCCAGAGACCTCTGGACAAGGCCAGGGAGGCCCCATTCATGCTGGATCACCTTCTTGTTGACGTGCAGCTCCAAGGCCTCTCGGTCCAGGACTGAAAGAAACAGTGTCTCGGATTCCACAAACACGGGTGCTCTTTCGGGCCCGGGAGGCTGCAAGGACGGCCTGGACACCACCCCACCCAGAGCTTCTACATAGTGGGTGCCCAGTCCCCAGAGGGACATTAAGTGGTTGCGCTGTATGGCCAGTTCAATTTGGCCTATGTCTTCTGGCCTCTGGGAGGGCAGGAAGTGGCTGCGGGCCTGGGGGGGCTTCTGGCTGGGCAGGATGAGCTTGGGGAGGGGCTGCCTCACAGAGGGGGGCGTGCTTTGTCCAGAAGGCCTGGTCAAGGCAGGCAGGAGCCCCAGCTGTGCCGCCGCACACTTCTTGCCTAGGTGGAACGTCACCTTCCGTGTGTCTCTAGCAGGCAGCAGAGGGGGCCTAAGATGACCCCATGGGGAGGAAGCCACCACCATCCTCATTTTCCTGGACCTCTGGTCTGTGCCTCCCCCAACCCCAACCTCTGGGTAAAACGTCCTGAGAGATTCAAGGACCCTCCTGGGCAAGCACCATCGCTGGAGCAAGACTCTCTTCCGCACGTTCCTCTCCAGCTCTTGCAGGGTGGCATTGCTGAGGAAGGGGACCTTGTCAGCCAGGAGGACGGTCACCTCCACATGCCCACGTGCCCGCAAATGGGGGGCATCTGGGGAAAGGGAGTGGAGGGATCTCTTGACAAGGCCTGGCAGCTCCCAAAAGTGCTGCAGCTTCTTCTCCCTCACGTGCCACTCGAGCTCCTCCCGGGTTCCTTGGCTGAGGAACGGAGTGTCCACTGAGGCAAAGTCAAGCATGGCGCCCTTGCTGGATGAGGGAGGAGAGGGGGCCTGAGCTGAGGCCTTCTGGAGCTGGAGAGAGAGGGACTTTCCATAGAGTGTAGGCAGCCCCCACTGGCGGGACAAGTCTTTGTGGGTGACGTTGAGCTCCAGGCGGTCCAGGACTGCCTGCTCCACAAACGGAAGCTTTTGGGATCGTGGCCGCTGGGCGAGTGTCAACCCAGGCAGTTCAGGCCTCCTGAGATGGCCATTAGGGGCCTGAGACAAATGCTGTACAGGGTCAAACAGTTTCAGTTGAATTTCCAGAACCATTTTGGCCACGTATCTCTGGAGTTCTGAGTTTGGAGCGCGCTCTGGACTTGGTGCCTCTGCAAGCAGTGGCTGTCTCAATCCCCTCTCCCATTGGGTGGACTCTGAGGCCTTCTCTAAACCCCTGGGTGTCTCTGCAGGCAGAGGGGAGCACGGTCTGACTGTGTGCTGCTGAGATGCCGTCACCCTCTTGGGAAGGCCCCGCTGCCTCTCTGGGATCTTGCTCCTGATGTGGCCGTCCATCTGCCTCGTGGTCTCCAGGGTGATGAAGGTGGGCAGGGAGCTGTCAGGGAGGACCTCCCCTTCCACTCGCCATGACAGCATGGGGAACAAGCAGGGCTCTTGTAGTGGAGGTGGGACAAACTGCTGCAAGGACCACTGCACCAGGCTGGGCTGGTCCTCTTGGGCCTCAGCCTTCTTCCTGGCGAGGTGGGATTCCAGCTGCTGCTGTGCACAGTGGGGCAGAAAGGGCTCTTCCACATGCCCAAATTCAGTGGTGGGATGCCTCTGAGGTGGTGTGGTTGCCAGCTCCAAAGCACTGGGCACCTTCTGGGTATAGGACTGGAGGTATTTGCTCCTGATGTTCACGTCCACACAATACGCCTTCCTCCAGAGACCCAGGCTTGGCCCACAGCGCGGCTGAGGGTGGCTCCTTTGCCATGGGATCAGCTTGGGGAGGGGTAGTTTCCTCATGCCTGGGGAGGCCGTTTCCGAGAAATCCCCCATGTGTTCAGAAAATGCCTCCAGCCCATTCTCGAACAACTTCTTCATGGCATCAGCTTGGGGGTCAGTTAGGGAATATAGGGCAGATTGGAGGGTGCCACCCCCAGCTGTGGAGATGAGGTGGGGAGCGTGCTGGTGTGGTTCTTCTGCCCTCGGGTGCTTGACTCCTCCTAGGCCTTCCTCTTCCGTGGATGTAGAGGAGATCTTGTCTATCATGTGATGAGAGACCGTCTTCCTGTGCCAGAAGGTCCTCTGGGCTCCCCTTGGTAGCCCCTGATGCCTGCGGAAAGTCACTCTCTTCACGTGCTGTTTCAGCCTCTTACTGCTGGCCACAGCCACGAAGGGGAGATCCTGAGGCCTTGTCACTGCATCCGCCTCCCTCTTTGTGGACCCCAGAAATGTGGGGTCTGGGGCAGGAGGCAAAGAGGTCTTGAGGAGGCTCAAGGGCAGCCCCAGGTCGTGCTGAAGCCTCTTCACAACCAAGTGCAACTCCAAGGTCATGCGTGCCACATTGGACATGAAAGGAGTGTCCACAGAAGCAAATTTGCGCCTCTGATGCTTGTGAGACCCAGGTGAGGCCTTCAGGGGCCAAGAATGACTGTACCTTCTTCGTTGAGGAAGAAAATGCCCACCCTGACCATCCTCTTCCTCGCTCTCGGAAGAGGCATTGCTCTCACTCGGAGAGGAGGTTTCATATTTTTCCTGCTTAGGAAGGGGGGCTTCATGCAGCCCCCAAAACCTGCCCCTGTCTTGGCTACGGACGGGTGAGGAGGACAGGCTGGAAGAGGAGCTGGTGGAAGAGGGCTCAGGAGGTCTAGAAGAGGTCCTGGGGTGGTCTTCTTGGTCTTCCAACTCTTTGTTGTCATCAGAACTGCCAGGGCCTGTTTTGCACCAAGGGGCAGCCGGGCTGTGGGGCTGGGAGTGTGGAGGGCCTGGCCATAGGGCTGACGAGCTGGGGCCCTGGAAATGAAGGCTGCTTGCAGGGTGGCGGGGATGCAAACAGGGCGGCTCCTCCTGCTGCTCCTTGCGGCTGTGAGGGTGCTGCCCCTTCCAGGGCAAGGGGGCTGCTTCCAGGCCCGGACTGAGGTCCCCAGGGTTAGGGGCAGGGTTGCTTCTGCTCCGCGGAAAGGTAGCTCTTCCCCCCAGGACAGGAATGGCTGGCAGGCTGGAGCGCTCTATGTAAGAGGAGGTGGGCAACCCCGCCGGGTGGCTTCGTTGGGCCAGCCGCTCGGCCTCCGTAGCGGTGCAGGCGCACAAGGGACAGGCTGCGTTGTCACACAGCAACCTGCGGATGGAGATGCTGGGGCTGGTCCTGTCTAGCAGCTGCCAAGTCACCGTTTCCCTCTGCCGGACTCTGGGGCCTGCAAAGAGACAGGAAGGCACCGGTCAGCTTTCCTCCAGACCCAGAACCCCTTTCCTGCCATATACACCTGCGATTCCTGTCGGTATTTTCATCCCTCCCATTGCAAAGGTCACCGGATCATGTCTGTTTTACTTTCTGTAGCAGAGAAAGGAGGGAGCAGAAACCACTCTTCCAGACTTCCCTCCCTAGCACTCTGCTGGTTTTTCTTTGATCTGTCTAGAGGCTAGGTGGAAGTATGAGAGAGCTGACTCTCTCGTGCATGTCCATTATGTTCTTTTCTTTTGTTTAATCAGTAGTTATAAAATTAGGTATGCAACAAAACCTCCACTGTTTCGCTTCCATTACTCTGCTACTATTGAGGCGCTCACAACAGCAAATGTGAGTTCACTGCACCAGGACCTGCTCCAGAGGAACGCTGTGCTCTGCTGTTTCTGCGTTCGTGTGATCGGAGAGTCAGTGAAGGTGCTCCCGACACCCAGCCCATGCAGGTGCTGAAGACGAGGGCTCTAAAGGGTGTACAGACAATTCCTGCATTGCAGGGGGTTGGCTTAGATGACCTCTGGAGGTCTCTTCCAATGCTACAGTTCTGCAATTCTGCAGACCTGCTACACCTGGGCTATGTTTTCAGTGCCAGGAAATGCTGCTGCAGCAGACTGTGGGAATGCTGAGGGTGGCAGGAGAGGATATATTGCTTATTAATATCCTTCTTAACTTGCGCTAGCAAGTTCTTTTATATAGCAGTTACTTTTCCCCCTTTTATATGCACAACAGATAGCTGGTTGCAGGCTCGTGTGAGCCTCTCACTATTATACAATCTGTCTCAGATAGAATTGTATGTTCCTGGTAAGTTCCCTTGAATCCCTCTTAAAAGAATAAAGAAGCCACCTATTCAAAGTCAGTAAAAGAAGTTTACTTACATCAGTTCACAGTAGGATCCCTGAAGGCAGACTTGGTTACAAATATTTTCATGTGGATCTACCCATATGGGGGAATAATCCCAGTTCTTCTGCTAGCTGAAAGCTAGCAGAGCAGTCCCAGCTAGAAGCTGGTCAAATGAAGAAGGAAGTCAAAAAGAGAGAGGTGTGCTGCGTGACTCGTCCTTTTGTTACCTGGACAGGTTAGGTCATGCCCACCTTCTATCACATGCAAAAGGAAGGATGCTCCAGCCAGGAGGAACAGGAATTTCGACTGGCTGGACCAAACATTCGCTTGCGTGTCTTCTCTAGCATTACAAGGAATGTTGTACTTGACTGCCTCTCATGGATCACATCCCACACAGACATCACCTCATGTGATACAACAACGCTGCTTTATGCCTCCCAAATGAGGATTCTCCATGCAGCGTCTGGAAAATGCTCCCGTCAAAACACGGAGGTCAGCAGCTTCTGCAGCTCCCGGGGGGCTCATGCTAAGCATAAAAAGCACAGGCAGAACCCCTGCAACAGGGACCCTCACAGTCCAGCATCATAGAATCATAGACCCATACGGTTGGAAGGGACCACAAGGACCATCTGGTCCAACCCTCTGCAATGCACAAATCTTTCACCCAACGTGTGGCTCGAACCCACAACCCTGAGATGAAGAGCCTCATGCTCTACCAACTGAGCTATCCCAAAGGTAATCCCAGAGCGTCCTATTTTGACAGTGGCCAGACAGCTTTAGAAGGGGACTAAGCAAATTATTGGATGATAAGAAGATAAATGGCTGCTAGTCACACTGGCTGCATTCTGTCTCCAAGATGGCCTTGGTCGCTCAGATGGCTAGAGCATGGTGCTGATAATGCTAAGGTTGCAGGTTTGATCCCTGTATGGCAGCGGTTCTCAAGCTGTGGGTCCCCAGATGTTGTTGGACTACAACTCCCATCATCCCTGAGCTCTGGACTTGCTAGCTAGGGGTGATGGGAGTTGAACTTCCACAACATCTGGGGACCCACAGGTTGAGAAAGGCTGCCATATGGGACAGCTGCATATTGCTGCATTGCAGGGGGCTGGACTAGATGACACTCAGGGTCCCTTCCAACTCTACAAGCCTATGGATCAGTGACAGTAGTCCTTTCAGTACCAATTATGGGGCAACACCCAAAGGAGAATGCAGTAGTCGTGATTATGATTGGCATGCCAAGGGACTTAGCAACAAGATTAGATGCAAGCATCTTAAAATCGATTAAAAGCCAAAGGGGAAAACAGCACACAGAATGGAAGTTATCTAAAGTGCTCATCCAACAGTACAATCAAAAGCCCACTTGACTTGCTTCCTGCAAGTCACAAGAAGAGCCTTGCAGCTGGATCAGCCCATAGAGGGGGCATCTCATTTTGTTGTCCCAGTGGCCACCCAAAGGGAATCCCAGAAGAGGGCCTGAGAGCAGCAGCATTTGGCCCACCTGCCATTCCCAGCAATGGGCATCATTCAGAGAGACGCTGCTGCGTCTGACAGCGGAGCAGAGCTAGAAGTTCTGGCTGGTCCCTCTGGGTGTACAGATCCCTGGAATGTGGCTCCTGCCTGAATGCCTTACCTTCTCCTTTGTCAACATTTGCCTGGGGCTGGTCTCTTCTTTCCAGAGGATCCTGCCAGGAAGAGAGGAGGCAGCAAAGTTACTCAGGAGGAAGGGGGTGTCCCTGATCTTCCTGCTTTCTGGAGTCACAGGCTCAGGACTCCCCAACCCATGCACTTGAAAGTCATTTACAAATTAAAACCACGATGAAGCTGGGGAAACGACAGAGCCACTATGCAGAATCAGCCCAGCAATAAAGGTGTTGGGGGGGCACTAAGATGGTCAAGGGTCTGGAAACCAAGCCTTATGAGGAGCGGTTGAGGGAGTTGGGTATGTTTAGCCTGGAGAAGAGGAGACTGGGAGGTGGTACGATAGCCAACTTCAAGTATCTGAAGGGTTGTCACAGGGCAGATGGAGCAAGCTTGTTTTCTCCTGCTCTGGAGGACCTGGAGCCAGTGGATTAAAACTGCAAGAAATGAGATTCTGACTCAACCTGAGGAAGAACGTTCTGATGGTAAGAGCTGTTCAACAGTGGAAAGGACTCCATTGGGAAGCTGTGGGTTTTCCTTCCTCTGAGGTTTTAAAGCAGAGGTTGGATGGCCATTTGTCATGGCTGCTTTAGCTGAGATTGCTGCGTCGCAGGGGGTTGGACAAGAGGACCTTTGGGAGACCCTTCCAATACTACTGTTCTGTGAAGACTCTTTTCTGTTTACAGGCTATAGAACATTTTAATCTTTTGTACTCTGCCTGTGCTAGTCCCAGTCCAGCCCTCCACCGAGCCCTGGAGCCTGTTCCCAAGATAGGGGCCTGCCATCTTGCATTATGAAATCATCCACTGGGAAGGTTCTTCATCAATGGCCCCCATCTGGGGTCTGAGCTGATTCCTGTTCTGAGCCTCATCAGACAGGTGTCTTGGGACCAGCAGGCCGTTTGAAGCATAAGAAGGGGAAAGGGAGAGATAGGTGCTTCTTCTGAGAGAGCAGGAAGACCACTGGTGGTGAGGTGAGGGTGGTAGAGCTGAAAAAGCAAAGGCCATGGGAAAGAATTTCTCAGAATATGGGGGGGGGGGTAGAGGAGCTTTCAAGAACCAGGACTATATGCTGGATTCAGAAGTGGACAGAAAACCAGTGTAGGAACTTATGGAGGAGACTCCCAGGATCAGAGCCATGAGGAGGGAATGTTTTGGGTCAACATGCATGGATCAAGCTGAAACCACAGAGCATCAGAGAGGATAACACTGGCAAGGGATGCTTGATGAAGGCAAGAGGGAAAGGCCCATATTTCTGTAAGTTCATCCAGAGCAAAAGGATGTATCACAATATGCTTGGTGCACTGAGCTGACCTGTTAACAAACCGCTTACACCAAAATGATGTCACCACAGTGCTGTCGCGATGTCATCACCTTGGGACACTAGTGGCTGATGACCTTTGAAGTGGAATGGGCCGTGTGGTGTGAGTCACCTTCAGATGGCCAGACTATCTCACAAACAGGGGCCCTTGGTCCTTGCCCTAGGTGGGCCAGCCAGAGAGAGAGAGGAGCGACTGCAATGTGTTATACGTGGGGCTGCCTCTGAAGACGCCTCAGAGACTTCAGCTGGTGCAGAATTCAGCAGCCAGGTTGCTCACAGTCAAGACGCTTTGAGCACATAATGCCAATCCTGGCCCAACCGCACTGGCTGCCAATTAGTTTCTGTGCCCAAATCAATTTTTGACGTATAAAGCCTTAAAAGGCTCAGGACCACAGTACCCCGAGAAGTGCCACTCTCCATATGTACCTACCTGGGCACTCACCTGAGGCTCTTCTTTATGTGCCTCCTCCATGGGAGGTCCAGGGGCTGGCAAAGCGTGAAAATGGGCCATTTCTGCGGCGGATTCCCATTTGTGGAATGCTCTCCTGGGGAACCTTACCTGGTGCCTTCATTACATATATTTAGGGACAGACGAAAGCCTTCCTCCATAACCAGGCCTTTGGCCTTTAGCTACTGTATCTGTGGCAGTTTAGAAGTGGACGGGATGTTTTTAATGCATTTTTTTCTCCTTGATTTAATGTAACCATTAGCAGGGCTGCCTGGTTGTTTGCTTGGCTGTAAGTTGCTTTGGGTTGCCCCGGACATGGTAGAACAAATACAGCAAATCATAATAATAACTTGCTCACTTCTTGTGCTACGGAGGCGGGAGTCACAGCAGTTTCCCATCCCACAGAGAAAGAGAAGATTCTCCTCCACATGCTGCCAAGTCTGATGCGCCTCAGGAAGGAGCCACCCTGGATCCTTTTGGTGAGGAAGATGAGGGCCAAGTTGAGGATTCTCCATGTGGACATGCCCCACAGACAACGGAAGCATGGTTCTCTCAGACAATGGCGCTCCTCCTGCATTGGCTACAGCTGCATTCTAAAGAACATCACAAAGGAGTGGTTCTCGGCTCATTTCTAGAACCAACAATCAAAAAACAACCTTTGGAACACTCCCTGGGTTCTCTCCATCCGCACCCAGGAGCATCGCATCAGAAGAGCAGAAAAACTGGTCCCCGGGTCAGTGACAAATTTTGCAGAAATGCACACCTTGGGACTCCATGGGTCTGCACTGCTGTGCCAGGTGTGAAGTTAGTGACCCACCAGATTGATGTGGGATGTGAAACACAAGAGCAGTCAAGAACAACATTCCTAGAATGAACATGTTTACACATGGGGAGGAATGTTTGTCCAGCCAGCAGGTAAACTTCCTGTTTCCTTCTGGGCTGGGACAGACTTCCTCTGCATGTGACTAGAGGTGGGCGTGGCCTCACCTGTGCAGGTAACAACAAAAGCACAGGGCAGGGCAACCATCTCTCTTTCACTACATGCATCGAAGAAACAACATGCTTAGCCAAAGATGCTTCCAGCCAAGAGAGGACAAAGGGACTGTCTCCTTATGAGATAGTTTCCAGGTGTATGTTACTTTTCTAAGCTAAGTCTGCCTTCTGGGATCCGATTGTGAACAGAATGATATGTGAGTAAACTCTTTTTATACTTTCATAGAAGACTATGTCATGTCTTATCTTTTATGAGGGAATAAGGGGAAAATACCAGAACAGTTATTATATATTTTTTAACAAGACATGTAGTAAATGTATCCAGATAAAAGAGATACATCAATAAAAAGGGACTGTTATACAGTAAAACTGAGAACTACGCATTACACAAGTACGGAAAGACAAGAAAACAGACAATATATCCTCTCCTGCATCCCTGAACATTCCCACAATTGATCGAGTGCACTCTTTTGTACAAGTCAAACTGCCCATGGCGAGTGTGTTCCAACAGTTTATGCGAACCTTTGATGATATGACATGCAATTCCATCTCAATCCAAGATCTTCCATGTGTTCTAAAGCCAAGGTTTTAGCTCTTATCCTGATCTGGAGAGTCAGTGCAACTTGAAAGCCTGTCAGCTAGAAACCACTTGATTTGCAATCATCACCACTCTAACATTCTTTAATTTGAAATGTGTCTGCAGAACACCACTTAGATGTCTTACAGTCTTCTTCCAGCTAATACCAGTCCGACAGTCGCTATAGAGGCTTAATATGACATAATGACGCATCCATTTCCCATGCTTTGTGTGGGAGGCCTGTCTTTGCATACATTGACAACTCGCTTACACAGAGTTGGAATGACTGTAATCAGGCAATCATATCCTGCTGCAGTCACTGTAACATTCCAACAATCTGCTCGTATTCACTCTTATGTGGACAAGTCAAAGCCCTTATAGGGTCCTGTGTAGGTTCCAACAGTATGGAACTTTGAGATATGACAGGCCAACCAGAGAATATTGAGAAGCAAAACAGCTCGTAAGCCTGATCTTTATTGAACTGTTGCAACAGGATGCTCCCCTCACACGCAGGAGAAGGAGGAGGACCCAGAACCCCGGTGTGCCCGCCCTTATATAGACATTTTAAATTGCCCCCCTGGAGTCCAAGACCACCCCCAGAAACATCAAACATACATCACAGAAGGGGTGTAGCTCAAGACCAGCCCCCAGATACATCATACCTACATCACAGAAAAGGCGGTCTACAACAGAAATCTGAGTGCGTTGTTTATCTCCTGTCTGGCAGGTTACCTGTTAATGGTTGGATACCCTGGGGAGCCTGGCTAGTCTTTTGTAATGATAAATACTTAGTTCCTGAGCCAGGTCACAGGCTCACCCTATTCGTACACAGACATACCCTAAAGACAGGATTTGTGATGGAAAAGACAATGGGGAGGCTTTTCCATTTTCCTTCGACCTTGCAGAGAAAACATTTGGTCAGTTTGGGAGTCAATATGGTTTCAGGGCTGTTTTCCTGTGCTACTTCAGGCATGTGGTTTATATATTTATGTACATGTTTGCTTGGTACATTTATGAACATTTATTATATATAGGTAAAGGTAAAGGTACCCCTGCCCGTACGGGCCAGTCATGTCCGACTCTGGGGTTGCGTGCTCATCTCGCTTAAGAGGCCAGGAGCCAGCGCTGTCCGCAGACACTTCCGGGTCACGTGGCCAGCGTGACGAAGCTGCTCTGGCGAGCCAGCACCAGCGCAGCACACGGAAACGCCATTTACCTTCCTGCTATAAAGCGGTACCTATTTATCTACTTGCACTTAGGGGTGCTTTTGAACTGCTAGGTGGGCAAGAGCTGGGACCGAACGACAGGAGCTCACCCCGCCGCGGGGATTCGAACCGCCGACCATACGATTGGCAAGTCCTAGGCACTGAGGTTTTACCCACAGCGCCACCCGCGTCCCTTTATTATATATATATATATAAAACCTTAAATTTTTTTATTTCATCACTAACTTCACATCTGGTGCAGCAGTGCAGACCCATGGAGTTCAGAGGTGTGCATTTCAGCAAAATTTGTCACTAAACCTTAATTGTCGGGCACCAGCTTTTCTGCTCTTAGGATTCCAGACTGTCATTATTTTCCCATGGCATACTGGAGAATCAGGAAAGCCTGGAGGAGAGGAGACTGAGAGGAGATATGATAGCCATCTTCCCATATCTCAAGGGCTGTCACATGGAAGATGGAGAAGGCTTGTTTTCAGGCCCTGAGGGGGATGGCGACTCCCTCAATATTGAGGGGGCCGAAACCCAACAATATTGAGGGGGCTGAAGCCCCTTCCACCCCCTATGGATTCCAGCAAAGTATTGCCCAAAAACTGGCATCTCCCAAATAACTGACCTTTTTGTGAGAAGGAAGTATCTATCATCCTGCAAACAAATCAGAATGAATGTTCAGCAAGCAGGAAGCCTTCTTTATGTTTGCATCTGATTTATTGTTATTTTCTTGGAGCAGAATGTGGGGTATTTCTTCAGAATAGTTTTATTTGAGGCTGTTGCAAACAGGTGTTCTGCAATCCTGAAGAACCCACAGTTAGCCAGTTTGTGCTCTCTGTGCAAGCGCCTATCTGAGAATACCTGCAGTGTGTTCTGTTCCCTCGAGGGCCTCTTCCAAGCTGGTTAGGAGGAATCGGGCACACGGGAAACTGAGATGTCCAGCAGTCATGACTCATGGAGGCAATGAATAGCTCGGAATCACCAGCTCAAATATTCCACTGGGATTTGCTTCCAAATAAAACCCTTTTCTGGCATTGCATCTCCTGCCACTGCTGCCTCTTCAGCCTCTAGATGGCAGCAATTGATGCCACAAGGATGCAAGAAGGAACCTCCTAAGGCCAAGGGCCTGCTGGAGCCTCCATGGGGAGCTGGGAGCAAAACGTGCCATTCAGGAGCACAAAGAGGGCTTGGGCAGTGCTTTGCAATATGGACAGACCCTCCAAGGCTCCCTATTTTCCAGGGACAGTCCTGGATTTACAGAAGCTGTCACAGTTTCTGATTTAATCCCAGAATATCCTGCTTTTCCATCATGGTGGGTGGCCAGTTATAGCCCTCCCCTTCTCCATGAATTTGTCTAAATTTGTCTGACCCGGGGGCCGGATGCGGACCAATCGCCTTCTAAATCCAGCCTGCGGATAGTCCGGGAATCAGCCTGTTTTTACATGAGCAGAATGTGTCCTTTTATTTAAAATGCATCTCTGGGTTATTTGTGGGGCCTACCTGGGGACGCAGGTGGCGCTGTGGGTTAAACCACAGAGCCTAGGACTTGCTGATCAGAAGGTCGGTGGTTTGAATCCCCGCGACGGGGTGAGCTCCCATTGCTCAGTCCCTGTTCCTGCCAACCTAGCAGTTCGAAAGCACGTCAAAAGTGCAAGTAGATAAATAGGTTCCAGCGGGAAGGTAAACGGCGTTTCTGTGCGCTGCTCTGGTTCTCCAGAAGTGGCTTAGTCCTGCTGGCCACATGACCCGGAAGGTGTATGCCGGCTCCCTTGGCCAATAAAGCGAGATGAGCGCCGCAACCCGAGTGTCGGCCAAAACTGGACCTAATGGTCAGGGGTCCCTTTACCTTTACCTTTACCTGGTGTTTTTACATGAGTAGAATGTGTCCTTTTCTTTAAAATGCATCTCTGCGTTATTTGTGAGGCATAGGAATTCGTTTGTGGGGTTTTTTTTCAAAATATAGTCTGGCCCCCCACAAGGTCTGAGGGACAGTGGACTGGCCCCCTGCTGAAAAAGTTTGCTGTCCCCTGATATATAAGGGGTAAGAAAAAAAATTCAGGTATCATGGTCCCAAGCTGTGTAGGATTTTATACGCCAAAACCAGCACTTTGAATTTAGCCCAGTAGCTAATTGGCAGCCCGTGCAATTCTTCAAAAAGTGGGGTAATATACAGTATAGACAATACTCTGTCCCAGTGTATGGGGTATTTTGCACCAGCTACAGCTTCCAGACCAATCTCAAGGGCAGTGCCACACAAAGCACACTGCATATAAAGGACATTCACACTTCAAAAATATGACTTAAACATCTTTTACTTCATGCTTTTCTTAGGAGTATCTCCTTCAACAACAGTGCTGGTGACAAAGTGTCCTTTGATGAGAAGGGCGAATTGTTAGCTGGATTTGATATTATCAGCTGGGTCACTTTCCCAAACAAATCTTTCCTAAAAGTGAAAGTAGGAAGAATGGAGGCTCAAGAACCACTGGACGGACAGATGTCCATCAGTAAGAGAATGATTACATGGCACAACCAGTTGAACCAGGTAGGGTCAGACTGGATAGTCTAGGGTACAAAGTACAAAGACCGGCCCCCTGCTGAAAAAGTTTGCTGACCCCTGAGACTCTAATCCTCTTTTAAAGCCACCTAAGTTGGTGGACCTCACTGCCTCATGTGGGAGCGAGTTCCACAAGTTAATTCCTGCAAACTAGGAGCCAGCAAAGCTGCCGGTTCTTTTGACTGATCTTGCCACTTCATAGCAACATGGAATTGCAGAGTTGGAAGGGACCATGAGGCGATCATCTACCCCTTCCTACGTGAGAATATTTTCCCCAACGTGGGCTTGAACCCAAGACCCTGAGATTTAGAGTCTCCTGCTGCACCTACTGAACAACGAACAACCATCCAAACTTCTCCTCTACCCTTTAATTAGCCTCCAAAGTCTTATAAAGCTCTACCAAAGAAATTTCTAACTCACCTGCATGCGCAAAGCCCTTGCCCAGTGATTGCCCAGGTTCTGGAGGCCAATATTATTTCGGTGAAGAGTTGGTGGTGATGGAGGGTGGGGAGACTGGGGTGTTGCCTCTATTTTTGTTTGCTAGTTTCTTTGTCCTCCAACTATAGAGGTAGATCAGGCCTCAGAACCTAAATAATAAATCGAAAAGGACTTTAATTTCTAGGATTCTGAAGCTATGCAAGAATGGCTCTTTTTCTCATCAGACATCCAATTTCCCCGTTTGCTTTTCTTCGATTATTTTGGACATCCCAGGGATAGGCATATTTCAGTGTTTGTACTTTTATGTACTTTGCTTTGTAGATCTCGGGGAAAGAAGTGATTGAAAATATTTTGCTTTTGATCAAATGTTGCAATTGTTTTCCAGATTTTGAAAAATACCTTCTTTGCACTACTGTGTCCATGCCAAGCGACACTCATTCTTGCATTAGGGTGTCTATGGATTTAACCTCTCTATGCCCACCATGCTCAAAAGATCTTTTGCATGCGCTGCACTGGCCTTTGGGGCTCTTATATATCTGAGACGCCCCTCAAATTTTCTCCCACTAGTGACTGCTCTGTGTCTTCCTTAAAGTGACAGATCCCATTTGCAGCCCCTGTGATCATGACGACTTAGAAGCAACTCTCTGGCCTGCAAATTGCCACGTCTGAGCAAAGTAAGGCATTGTATTTCCTGCTACATACAAAAAAAATAAAAATTTGATTTTTGGATACTGAGAAAATGCTTCCTTGAGAGAAAGTTTCTGATCTGCAAGAAAGCAACACTGATCTGGCAAAAAGCCCTAAATTATGCATTAGAATTTTGGGGTTGAATTTTGCTACTTGACATGCTTTTTAAAGCTCAGATTTTAATAATTTAATAGTGCTTCCATATTATGTTATGTTAATTGGGGGAGGGGGTTGTTTTAATCCTTCCTTGTGTGGAAAATATAGTTTACAGAGCTGCGTGGAAGTTGCCCAGGGTCGTTTGACCCTTTTTGATAGTTCTCTTTTCTCCTTGAAAAACTACCCAAGGCAATTTTATTTAAGCTTTAAAAATAACATACAACTTTTACCTGGTGTACTTGCTTTTGTCACACTGGAGGTACAAGACAGGCAGGCAGGTGATATTCATGGTGTTACTGAAACATATTTACATGAATTTTTATCTGAGACTGACTAATATTTACGGATGATTCTGGGACAGCCGCATCTCCCCACATGCTTTGAGGAAGATTTGCATCTTTTAACATACAATTTTTTAAAAAAAATTAACCTAGTCATCTCAGTGAGGAACTTACGTGTTTGTACTCAACGGCTGATAACTGAACTAGCTGGAAAAAACTGACCCAGGCAAATGACATCGCAGCATTCTATACTACAGCACTGTTGTTGTTCTTTAGTCGTTTAGTCGTGTCCTCCTCTTCGTGACCCCCTGGACCAGAGCACGCCAGGCACTCCTGTCTTCCACTGCCTCCCTCATGCTGGTAGCTTCCAGAACACTGTCCCACCATCTCGTCCTCTGTCGTCCCCTTCTCCTTGGGCCCTCCATCTTTCCCAGCACCAGGGTCTTTTCCAGGGAGTCTTCTCTTCTCATGTGGTGGCCAAAGTCTTGGAGCCTCAGCTTCAGGATCTGTCCTTCCAGTGAGCACTCAGGGCTGATTTCCTTCAGAATGGAGAGGTTTGATCTTCTTGCAGTCCATGGGCCTCTCAAGAGTCTCCTCCAGCACCAGAATTCAAAAGCATCCATTCTTCGGTGGAGGAACAAGGTAGAAGATTATAAAATGATGCCTGGCACAGAGGAAACAGACAGAGAAGCTTTCCTCATCTTTATGAAACACCGGAATGTGTGGACATCCAATGAAGCCGAATGCTGAAAGATTATGGGAAGATAAAAGCAAGTACAGGGCATAGTTAACCTGTGGAACTCCCTCCCACAGGAGGCAGCAATGGCCACCCACTTGGATGACTTTAAAAGAGGATTGGACAAATTCATAGAGGAGGAGAGGCTCTCGATGGCCACCAGCCATGCTGCCTATGCTCTGCCTCCACAGATGAGGGCAGCAATTGGGCATTGCTCTGATCTAGCAGGCTCCTCTAATATCCACCTGCCATTCACTCTGGCGCCCCCTGCTGTTGGCCTCCCTGCCGCGCCCCACCTTGCGAGTCCCACTGGGCACCAGCAGCCACCCCTGGCGTGCCAGACTTGTGGCGCATGGCGTCACGTTTCCCTTTTCCCTTCTGATGGCGGCCTGGCGCTTTCCCCAAGGCGTTCTGGGCCTGCTGCATTTTCTCAGGGAAAGACAGGCATCTGCTCAGGGGACTGGCAAATTCCCCATCATTCTTGATTTGCAAATGAAGGCAGCTGTTCCTCTAGCAGAGAGGCTGTTGCCAATTATTTAACTGGGATAATGAGGTGATAAATATGTTTGGGAGGAGCAGGAGGGCAGGGATTTCCCTGGCTTAGCCTGAAGAATGGGATTTCCTCTTGGTAAATTTGGTCCTCTTTTGGTGTTCTCCCCGCCCCGCCCCCACTATGGGTTGCAAGGGAGTCTATTTTGGCTGGATCCAAAAACCGAGAAGGATCCAGCAACTGGGTCTATATATGCAGCATTGATGGTGACAAGCAGCTCCCAAACACCATCAATTTTCTCCCCTTGCCTAATAGCTGCAGAGATTAGCCAGATGTGCTGAAATGGCTCTCTGATGATGGTGAACACCAACAGTGGGAAGATGGAGGCTGAGGGGGGAGGGGGGAGGACCGACCAGCAACATTTCTCTTCCTTTGCAGCAATCCAGTAGGGACAGGCATAAGGTTCTGCAATTAGGGCTTATCCCCATCTCCGCTTACTCCATTGTTTTCCGCCAGGGAAACCCGATCTTTAGCACTGGATCAGACTAAATGGTGAAAGAGTTTTCTATGGATTGCTGTTTGTTCTGATTTAGAGCTAAAGAGCCCCCCCACTCACTTTGACTTAGGGAACCCCCCTCACACCAGGAGGCATTGCCTTCACGCTTCATAAAAACAAGATTCCAAGGAATCTCCTGGACTTCCCTCCTCCCCTTTGTGGGTCCTATTATTAATCATTTCCTCCTGCATCTTTTATGATAATCCAAATCTTTTACACCTCCATTATGTCCAAAATTCACCATTAAACGACAAGTGTTATTCCAACCCTACTAACGATTTTAACGGTTTACAATGGTCTTTAACATAAGTTTTAAAATTTCCCCATTCCTAATTAAAATTTTGGTCTTCCTGATTCCTGATTCTTCCGGTCATTTTAGCCATTTCGACACAGTCCATCAACTTGATCTGCCATCCTTCTCTGGTCGGGACTTGATCTTTTTCCCGTCTCTGGGCCAATAACATCCACGCAGTTGTGGTTGCATACATAAATAGTCTTTTCTGCTCTTTTGGGATTTCAGCACCTAGAATTCCTAAAAGGAAAATTTCAGGTTTTTAAGAAAAGGTTATTTTAAACATTTTTTCAACTCATTATATATCATTTCCCCAAATTCTTTTACTACCTTACATTTCCACCACCTATGATAAAAGGTGCCTTCTTTTCTCCCCTAGTATCCCCCTTAGTACTTCTCAATCCTTCCTCATAAGGCTTGGTTTCCGGATTCTTGAACATCTTGGTCACCTTCCTCTACACACATTCCAGCTTGTCAATATCCTTCTTTAACTGTGCCCAGAATTGGACACAGGACTCCAGGCTCTAAAATCTCCTAGCTGCCCCTTTGCTTGCTGGTGGCCCCTGGAGCAGCACTTCTGCTAGTCTTGGGCCTTGAGAATTGCAATTCTCCCTCTCCTCCCAGCTAGTGGAATTTCCTCCCAGACTCACTTTGGCTTGGGGGACCCCCTCTCCCACCAGGAGGCGTTGCTTTCAAGCTTTTAAAGTTTCTCTTCTCAGTCCCATCGAACCTAGAAACTTGCTGGCTTGCTTCTTTTGGTACATAGTGCATCCAAATTTAAGGGGATTAATCTGTCTTGCGTAGGTGTGTTGTCGTGTTTCGGGAAGGACTGGTCTGTGAGTTGTGTCTGGTTCCATGGAGTTGGCTGAATTTGACAACTGACAGGTAACAAAACTTCTGTTCTTCTAAACGGAGCTGGTCCTTTGATTTTCAGCTGGCTGGTGGATGCTGCTGACCTGCGTTCGAAACCCGTGCCTCACGTTGCCAATTACGAGGCAGCTTTATGGGCAGAGGCAGCCTAATGAAAGGTATCGTTGAGGCGTCAGGCTGGATTGTTTATGCTGCCAGAGGCTCGGCAGTGAAGCTTCTGCTAAGAAGGACTTCTGTGGCCACATCCAAAGCAAGACCTTTGGAAGGATGCGTCAGCCCAGATAATGAGGTGGAGATGCCCTGGCAGCTTCTCCAGCCAGCTGAAATAAATGTTTCAACCGAATGCACCATCTGAGGCACCCCAGATATATATATGAAACATGGAAAATGATGGAAAAAGATGGAAGTATGGGTGCAAGGAGCTTGCGAACATGTGGAAGACTTCTGTGGTTTGGGCATGGGGTCAAGCCCCAGGCCAGGCTCCTCCTCTGGGCACCTGGGGAGGTTTATTCGAGCTCAGCTCAGCTCCAGGACCCATTTATTTATTTGTTTCATAAAATTTATAGACTGCTTGATTGTAAACAACAACAACAGTTGAGATATTCCGTTCCACCTTAAGGAACAGGCATGATTGTTGTGTGTCACATGTCCGTTTACACTCCAGCACAGTATGCTGGGAACTTCCGTTTTGTGTAAAGCTTTTGCTTTTGCCTCTTTGCTTTGGACACGAAGAAGATCGGACATGTTTACTTTTGTCCTAATGTACAGTGGTACCTCTGGATGCGAACGGGATCCGTTCCGGAGCCCCATTCGCATCCTGAAGTGAACGTAAGACGCAACTGCGTCTTTTCGGAGCAATGGCCATTGCACAGAAAACCCGGTTGCCTTTTACTCTGATTTAGTAGTAAAAAGCAGACTTTCCTGGGGGTGGGGCAAACAGAAGTATGGATGAGCTCCTCCCCTGCATGCAAAGCAGCTGTGTGAAGCCCATGGCAGGGGAGGAAGAAGGGGAGGCGGTGGGGGTGGATCGCCCTGGGTGCCCTCACTGAGGGGGGTGACATTTGGCGCACCACCTGCCTGCGACTCCCAAGCTTGCCCCGAGCCATCGGTGTAAGGGGGGAGCTGCGCCACTTTGCCGGAGACATTCCCCCCTTCCCCCTTCGTTTTGACAGCCTGGGGGAGGATTGGGAGTCACGGGCGGCTGGCGTGCCAAATGTACACCATGGGAGGGCACCCTCCACGCCACGTCCCCCTTGGGAGCACACCTGCCCTGGGCAGTGCAGGCATACGATATGATAATATGATACGATAATCTTTATTGTCATTGTCCCATGCAGAACAATGAAATTGGAAAAGTCTACATCAGACATTCAAAAACCAGCAAGCCTGCAATCCCAGTTATCCCAGCCTGGTTAGCCCCCTAAAAACTCTGATACCCCATAATTAAATACAATATACTCCCATAGAGACTAACTTACACTGCGTTTAAAACCAAAATCGCATTTGGGTAGAAACTGTTTCTCAGGCGGCTAGTCCTAGTTTTTATAACCCTGTACCTTCTTCCAGAAGGCAATCATTTCCGGGGTGCGCACTATCCTGCGCTATCTCTGCAGCTTTCTTATGTCACCTGGAAGCGTAGATTTGATCCAAGGTGGAAAGAGCGCACCCAATTATTCTCTCCGCAGTCTTTACAACCCTGGACAGCATTGTTTTTTCCCTGACCATGCAGGGAACCGTGCATTTGCTCTGCCACTAGCCCAAGGCAGACTCTGGGGTCTCAAATTTCAGCGGCACCCTGTGCAATGCTAAAACTGGGCACTCCTGCACCTCTCACACCCGGTCCTACAGCGTTGTGGCGGCACTCTCTGCAACACAGCGCCCCGTGCACTCAGAGCGGCCATGCTACTCTAAAACGGCCTCTGCTGCCTCGGTTGGAGGGCAGGTGCTCTGAGGTCACTCCGCTCAATGCGCAAGGAGCACTTTCTGTGGCTTCTGCAGAAATGGAGCAACCAAGCAGAGCTAATTGCGGCTGCAGATGGAAAGTGGATGGCTGGGGGGAGAGGAGAGATTCCCTCCAGCCTGGAAGAAGTGGCACTGCCATCTTGGGCCAGAAGATGCCTCTGGGTGGTGGGGGGCGGGGGGGGCGGGGGGGAGAGATCACAGAGTGTATATGAGGCTGACAAGACAGTCCATCTCTCATCAGCTTCAGGCTGGAATTAACCCTGAGTGAAGCACCAAGGGCTTGTTGCTCTGCAGCTGAATCCCAAGTGTAAAACTCAACTTTTGAAGAAGGTGGGTTGTTTTCCTGAAAGATGAATGAAGCGGTGGGGGGGTGGGATATTTGGGAAATGCATTATTCTCACCCAATTAAAAATGCCTCCATCATCTCCATCACTGGTGGAGAGAAAGGCGAATAAGGGCTCGTCCACACTCCTGCTTTGTCCAGCAGCTTGGAAGCACAGTGTTGGTGCTGACCTTGAAAGCCCTAAACGGCCTTGGTCCAGTAGACCTGAAGGAGTGTCTCCACCCCCATCGTTCTGCCTGGACACTGAGGTCCAGCTCCGAGGGCCTTCTGACGGTTCCCTCCCTGCGAGAAGCAAAGCTACAGGGAACCAGGCAGAGGGCCTTCCCAGTGGTGGTGCCTGCCCTGTGGAACGCCCTCCCAGCAGATGTCAAAGAGATAAACAACTACCAGACTTTTAGAAGACATCTGAAGGCAGCCCTGTTTAGGGAAGTGTCACCACTGACAAAATGTCGGGCGGCACTCACTGCAGGGCCTGCAGTGCACCTGAGCCACGCATCTCTCCTGTGAGTGACGCGGTGGCTTGGGTGCCCGCAGGCTCCGTGCTGCCCCAAATGGTCTGCCCACCACTTTCCCCACAGGGGTAGGGCAGCTGAGTGGGAGGAGGCAAGCAGACTCCTCAGAGGCCCCGCAGAGTATCCTGCCCGGCTGGCCCTGCCCAACGGGCGGCTGCCCTGCCCCTGGGCACAGGGCATGCACGCCGCCCCAGGCGCCCGATTGGCTTGCTCCGCCGCTGCCACCAATAGGAGCTTACAAGATCCTGGAGAGTGGACTTAAGAGAGACCCCCCACCCCATAAGCCCTTTTATCTAGCTTACCTGTTGTAGGAATCATTCTTCCCTTTCCTGCTTCTGCCCCAGTGTTCCCAAGGTACCTAGTCAGGCCTTTCCTGCGGCTTCATTCTGCCTAACCAGAGGAGAGCGAGGGGGGTCCCTCTCACAAGACTCCTTGCCCGCCTGCCCGCCTGCCATCCGTCACCCCTGCCAGCCATTAATATTAATTGGAGCTGAATAATTCACTGGCTGTTTAGGATCCTGTTGTTTAAGTCCGGCTCGTGCTGTTCTCCTTCGTTAGTCATTACGGAGAAAATCTCCAGAGCAGCTCCCATAAATCTTCCTCTCCTCTTGCACACTGTGAAAAGAAAGCAGGAGCCACGCTAAGCAAGGCCAGCGCAGGGCAGTGGCAGCATCAGAAGGAAACTGGGCTGGTCCCTCCTGCTCATGTTGGGCCAACAGGGGAGGGAGGGAGAGAAGGAAGGAAGGAAGGGAGGGAGGGAGGGAGGAAGGAAGGAAGGAAGGAAGGAAGGAAGGAAGGAAGGAAGGGTTCAGAGGAGAAGAACAACATTTGGGACCTTTTAGTTTACAGAAAAGGCAAGGAAGAAGCAACATGATAGAAGTTTGTAAAATTATGCATGGCACACAGAAAATGGAGAGAGGAAATTATTTCTCCCTCTGTTATAACACTAGAACTCTTGGATATCCAATGAGGCCAAATGTTGGAAGATTGAAGAGAGATAAAGTCCTTCATGCAGTGCATAGTTGAACTATGGAACTCTCTCCCACAGGAGGCAGGGATGACCACCAAGTTGGCTGGTTTTAAAAGAGGATTAAGCAAAATCATGGAGGAGGAGAGGTTTATTGATGGCTTCTAGCCCTGGTGTGATGACCCCCTTCATGGGGAGGAATGTTTGTCCAGCCAGCAGGTACCGTATTTTTCGCTCCATAGGACGCACTTTTTCCCCTCCAAAAATGAAGGGGAAATGTGTGTGCGTCCTATGGAGCGAATGCAGGCTTTCGCTGAAGCCTGGAGAGCGAGAGGCGTTGGTGCGCACCGCCACCGCTCGCTCTTCAGGCTCCAGGAAGCTATCTGCAAGCCTTCCGCACCCGGGGGGAGTTCCCCTGGGCACTCAAGGCTTGCGGGCAGCAGCCTGCAGCGCGGAGCACGGGGCGCCCTCCGGAGGATGCCCCGTGCCTCGGCAGGTGCCCGCAAGCCTTGCGCGCCCAGGGGAGATCCCCTGGGCGCGCCCGGCTTGCGGGCGGCAGCCTGCAGCGCGGAGCACAGGGCGCCCTCGGAGGACGCCCGTGCCTCGCGCAGGTGTCCGGCAAGCCTTGCGCACCCGGGGATCTCCCCGGGAGCGCAAGGCTTGCGGGCGGCAGCCTGCAGCGCGGAGCACGGGGCGCCCTCGGAGGACGTCCCGTGCTTCGCGCAGGTGTCCGCAAGCCTTGCGCACCCGGGATCTCCCCCAGGGACGCAAGGCTTGCGGGCGGCAGCCTGCAGCGCGGAGCACGGGGCTCCCTCCTGAGGACGCCCCGTGCTAGCCGCGCAGGTGTCGGCAAGCCTTGCGCACCCGGGATTTCCCGGGAGCGCAAGGCTTGCGGGCGGCAGCCTGCAGCACGGAGCACGGGCGCCCTCCTGAGGACGCCCCGTGCTCAGCGCAGGTGTCGGCAAGCCTTGCGCACCCGGGGGATCTGCCCCGGGTGCGCAAGGCTTGCGGGCGGTAGCCTGCAGCGCGGAGCACGAGGCGCCCTCCGGAGGACGTCCCGTGCTTCGCGCAGGTGTCGGCAAGCCTTGCGCACCCGGGGGATCTCCCACGGGAGCGCAAGGCTTGCGGGCGGCAGCCTGCAGCGCAGAGCACGGGGCGCCCTCCTAAGGACGCCCCGTGCTTCGCGCAGGTGTCGGCAAGCCTTGCGCACCCGGGGGATTTCCCCCGGGAGCGCAAGGCTTGCGGGCGGCAGCCTGCAGCACGGAGCACGGGGCGCCCTCCAGAGGACGCCCCGTGCTTCGCGCAGGTGTCGGCAAGCCTTGCGCACCCAGGGGATCTTCCCCCGGGAGCGCAAGGCTTGCGGGCGGCAGCCTGCAGCGCGGAGCACGGGCGCCCTCCTGAGGACGCCCCGTGCTTCGCGCAGGTGTCGGCTAGCCTTGCGCACCCGGGGATCTCCCGGGAGCGCAAGGCTTGCGGGCGGCAGCCTGCAGCGCGGAGCAAGGGGCGCCTCCGAAGGACGCCCGTGCTTCGTGCAGGTGTCTGCAAGCCTTGCGCGCCCGGGGGGAGATCCCCCCTGGGCGCGCACGGCTTGCGGGCGGCAGCCTGCAGCGCGGAGCACGGGGCGCCCTCGGAGGACGTCCCGTGCTTCGCGCAGGTGTCTGCAGCCTGCCGCCCGGCGCGTGGGGCGCCCTGAAGCAGAGCGCCCCTCACGCCGGGCAGACATGGCCAGCCCCACAAGCTCGGGGGACAACGGGGAGGCGCAGCGCCGCCATCCCACTGTTCCCCGACCTGGTTTTGGGGGAGAAATAAAGGAAAAAAATTTTTCCTTTATTTCCCCCCCAAAAAAGTAGGTGCGTCCTATGGGATGGAGCGTCCTATGGAACGAAAAATACGGTAAACTTCCTGTTTCCTTCTGGGCTGGGACAGACTTTCTCTGCATGTGACTAGAGGTGGGTGTGGCCTCACCTGTGCAGGTAATGGCAAAAGCACAGGGCAGGGCAGCCATCTCTCTCTCTTTGACTACATGCATTGAAGAAGCAACATCTGCTTAGCCAAAGATGCTCTCTTGGCTCTAGCCAAGCGAAGACAAAAGGACTGTCTCCTTATGAGATAGTTTCCAGGTGCATGTTACTTTTCTAAGCTAAGTCTGCTTTCTGGGATCCGATTGTGAGCAGAATGATATGTGAGTAAACCTTTTTATAATTTTGTAGAAGACTGTGTTGTGTCTTATCTTTTATGAGGGAATAAGGGGAAAATACCAGAACAGTTATTATAGAGGCTTTAGCGAGCCTGAGCAAACGCATCCGCTGTGAGTTTAAAAAGGGGAATGTTACTCTGCTAAATTGTGGAACTTGTTAACAAAAGTTGGAAAAGGATATAACCAAACAATATATCCTCTCCTGCATCCCTGAACATTCCCACAGCCATGGCAGTGCTCTGTTCCCAGTCGGTTCCTTCTTACACCTTTGTGTATTGACCTTGCTATGGACTTCAGTTGGTTGCCTTGGTTGCCCAAGGGGCCTGGTAGGACTTTTTTATCCATTTGGCAAATTGGCACCAGCCTCTTGGTTTTTCCACCTACCTCGTAGCAACTCGTCACAACTTTCTGGTATCGGTGGTTAGGCATTGGAATATGTGTGCTGTGTTGGAGGATTGGGTATGGGCCATCATCTACCCCTCCTCTTTTGGGTATTCCGTTGAAGGAATCTGGTGGTCGTGGATCCTGTCTGATGCCCTGCTGGTGGCTAGGGCCACGGCACGACCCCCGGTGACGTCATGGGGGAGCTTCCAGTTGTATTTGCACCAACAAGCTCCTCCCATTGCTTGTTAACCCTGATATGACTCCTGTGGAGTCTGGTATTGCTGTTTCATCCAATGCCTAAGCCAATAGTACTCACATGCTGTAACCAATCAAGTTGTGGCCTAATTTTGCCCATTAACCTAAAATAATGTGTCTTTGTGTCTTATTATAATACTATGCGGGTGGCGGGTCCTCGACTCACAACTGGTAATCGGAAACTTTGCTGCTTCCACCTGCAGAGGCAGGGCAGAGCCATCACTGATAGCCCAAAGATCTTGGAAGCCTATTTAAGGGATAACGAACCAGATTCTCTTTAAGGAAGATCTGCATGAGGGTTGGAAGGGGGTGGGCAGACAAGCCAAATGCACAGAAAATAATACTTGGTGCTCAGTTTGCATCTCACCTGGTCTTAAGGCAGCCTCATATGAGGGACCTTTGACCTTCTCGTGCGATGCCTGGGCGTGCATGCATGTGTGGAAACACTTGCAAAGTGAGGAGAGAGCTATTTTTAAGTCTATGCAGGCTGTACAAGCACATCAGTTATGGAGTGTGGAATTGCAAGAGGCAGTTTCAGTCTCAAGTGGGGAAATGCCCTGCCGTTCCTGAATAATTTCTGGAGCTAAATGCCCACAACAGCGTAGCAAGACAAGAGTTTCTCTCCAGATATTCCGTGCATGAGACTAAGTGCTGGTGCAGATCCTGTGAACTTCATACCAGTTTGCGGGGAGGCACAGAAGGGTCGCTCTGGGTCCTGAGGGACGGAGGGGGTTCCATGCTACTGCAGAGAAGTGCCTACGGCTCTGGGGAACTACGGCTCCCAGCATGCCTTTCTCCGCACCATCATCTCAGCAGCATCCATCGCTCCTGCTCCCCTGAGCCTGCTTGAGACGCAACAGCCTTGTGATTAAAACAATGGAGACTCCTTGGCTTCCACTTCAGATGGGCTTATGAAATTTTAATATGCTAAATGGCTTTTCCAGGGCAGGGTGCTGCCGGGAATGGCAAAGCAGGTATGAGAGATGAAAAGAGAACAGATGCTCCTAACCTGTGCATTCTGTGTGCCTCTGCTGTGAGCCTGTGCTGCTCCCAGCAGGAGAAAGATGACGGGTTTTCACTGTGGCCCCAGGGGAACCTCCCCTGCTGGGGGAGCTGCCTCTTCTGTGGGGAGGGGGCATGGTCAATCCTCACATACAAATCATGGGCACCCATGAGGGGAAGGGGGAGGGGGCAGTTGTTGCCTCTGCCTAGGTAAGCCATCACCCTCAAGTCCCAAGTTTCCATTTTAAAATAAAAGATTATAGCATTTGTAAAAGGTAAAGGTAAAGGGACCCCTGACCATTAGGTCCAGTCGCGGACGACTCTGGGGTTGCGGCACTCATCTCACTTTACTGGCCAAGGGAGCCGGCGTACAGCTTCCGTGTCATGTGGCCAGCAGGACTAAGCCGCTTCTGGCGAACCAGAGCAGCGCACAGAAACGCCGTTTACCTTCCCACCGGAGCCGTACCTATTTATCTACTTGCACTTTGACGTGCTTTCGAACTGCTAGGTTGGCAGGAGCAGGGACTGAGCAATGGGAGCTCACCCTGTCGCGGGGATTCAAACCCCCGACCTTCCGATCAGCAAGCCCTAGACTCAGTGGTTTAACCCACAGCGCCACCCGTATCCCATCTAGCATTTGTTGAACCTGAGATATGGGGTGAAATGTGCAGGCACCGTTTTTCTCGTTCATTTTGTAAGAAACCAGTCTCCTCCCTCTTTTCTGTTACATAGGTTTTCTGTATGTAGTATTTACTTTGGCCCCCACCAGAAAAAGTACTGTGTGCATAGGTAGATTCATTTAAATATGTGCAGTTTTCAAATAAGCCATCTCTGATGCTGAGGCTTAAGTAAAATAAGGCAC